TGGGTTGGGCTGAGATGCAGCGACAGGCCCAAAGGCATCCAGTGAGCGTCATGGGCGAGTTGGGCGGCTGAATTTGAACCCTGCCTGCCTCGCAGCTCCTCAGCACCTCGCTAGCCCCACCACCCTACGAGAGGAACGCGCCCCTCGGGGACTCAGTTCGGCCTCGATCCGCGGGGATCTCTGCCTCCCAGGCCAAGAGAGACGAGGCCTGCCTTGGGCTTCCCACCTCCCTCCCTCTGCCCCGCGGCGTGTGGTGCAAAGGCACCGGCCTGCAGCTGCTCCCTTCTTTCCCGAAGGAGAAACCTTCAAGCCAAGGTTTCGCCCGGGCAGCTGGGAAGGAGGACGAGGCCTCCCGGAAGGGCGGCGAAGAGGAGCAGCAGGACCCCAGGACCCCAAGGGGGGGGGCGGGCGGCTGCCGAGACTACGCACCCCTCCGCGGAGGAGACCGCGAGCGACTCCGGCCCATCTCCCCTCCCGACGCGGAGCTCGCCTTCTCCCTCTTCCCCGCAGCCTCCGCAGCGGAACTTCCGGCGGGACGGTCCGTTTCCTCTTCAGCTCCGGCTGGGAACACGCCGGCAGGAGGCTTGGGTTCCACGCCGGGGATTGCCCCCCCCCCCGGATCCTGCTGGCCAATCGGCGGGAGGGGGCGGGGAGAGAAAGGGCCGCTGCCCCGTTGAGAGCCTCTCCTCCAATCCCCCCTCCCTCAGAACACGGCTCGAAATGGCAGGGAGAGATTGCAAGAGATCAGTTCCAAGGAGGGGCAGGGAATGCCTCTCGTGAGAAGGACAGGAGGAGCTGCCTGGAACAGAGTGAGGCCGGTTGGGTTGCCGAGCTGAGTCTAGTTTCCAGGATGAAGCGAGAGAAGGCAGGACTGGCCGCTTGGAGAATTGACCCCCTTGGACCACCCTCCCCTTACCCTTGGCAGAGCCTAAGGGACAACAGATAAAGTGGAGCAACGTTTAGGGACTCCAGCCTGATACTCACCTGAGAAGGTTGAAGCTTGTTTTGACTCCCAGGCTTGGCGTGACCCATGGAAGGCACAGAGCCGGGACTGGACTTGGCTCTGTAGCAGGAACCCCCCCCCCTCCATCATTCAGTTTGTACAAACTTCACACACACTCACACTCACACACTACATACGCTACGCTTCTGTTATAAATTCACAGAAAATCAACCATACATTGGATTTGCACTGTTCCACTTTTATTTTACTCCATGAAGGAAGGACTACAAAATGGGGAAAGTTTGATACAGGCCAGCCATAATCCCTTGAACATCCCAGCGTTCTAAATAAGGGCCCAGAGTAAACAGGGGGAAGTTAATTAGAAAGATAGTCACAAGTTAGTGCTGCTGAATCTGTGAGTGTGCAGGTGATCTGACCTGAGGTTGCCTGACTCATCCTGGAAGTGTCATTGCTCTGTCTAGTTTGTATTTTCAGTTCTACAGGATTCCCAGTTGGTTGAAGGAACCGGGCACCAGAATCTTAAAGCAGAGGTTTCAGGATTTCAAAACCTGCTCCTGGTGCCCTTTTGCTTACTAATTATCCCAATGCCATTGTTGCAACCTAGATTCCTGAGGAGGAGTGAATTGTTATGTATCCTCCTGACCTAGCTGGCAAGAAGGTCAGGGATAGAGACAGTTACAGCGCTGAATGTAAGCTTACAAGACGGCAGGAGGGTCGTTTCCTATGGCCATCCACTTCAGCCAAACCTGTCTTGGTTCACTGCTGAACACAAATTGGGGCAACAGCAGAAGCCTCATTACTGCTGCTGTGTGTGGCTGTGACTTGCACTGCCCCTAATCCAGCTGCCTAGTACGGGCTTTGCAGGTGCACTCTAGATAGTCTCTGCTTTCTGCCCTCTGAGCTATGGTAAAAGGCTGGAAGATGTGCTGCTGCAATCGATTGAAGGATTAACAAAGTGGGCTGTATGTTGGCTGTCTAGCATCCGGAAGCAGCGCTAATAAGCCTTGCACCTGCTTTTCTAGCTCCCTGCTCCTCAGCCAAGCCCACTGCCTACTTCAGTTATGCACCATTCATCGTTTTCCTAGTTTAAGCTCAACATGCACCAGTTCTCCTGAGGCCTTGAAGCTGGAGTCAGTTGGGGATAACATGTATTGTTATCCAGATTTGTCATTTTATATAGCATCATTCTTTTTTAATAACACTCCAATTAATAACATATCAAATCTTGCAACATCATAATACAAATAATAAAACCAATTATACATTCCAAATTATATTATTTAAAAAGACTTCCCATGTTCTGGCTGGTCAGGAGAAAATCTTTTGTTTCTCGTTCCTGCACGCGAGTAGGAGCTGGAGGGGCTGCTCAGCTGGGGAGGTGCAGGCTCTGTCACACTTTCCATTGAGGGGTTCACGGCTGGGGGCTCCTTTAAACTTCTCCCCCCAAAGGAGCCCCCATGTCACCACCTGAAGGCAGCCAAGCAGAATAGTTGCTGGGGTGGCAAAGGTGGAGGCAGCTGCGTCTGAGAGCCCCTAAACTGCTGCTGAGGCAGCTGTCGGGCTGTCTCCGCATGGCCACCAATGCTCCTTTCAACTTCTCTGTTGAGGTGAATGCAGCCACGCACCCTTCAATGGAAAAGTCTGACGGAGCCTGCACCTCAGCAGGAGAGCAGCCCCATCCAGCTCCTACTCCGTGCAAGGAGGAGTGGGGGCACTCAAAACGGAAGTGTGGCACGGAAAAAGGAAGTGTAAGACTCAAAACAAACAGTTCAGATTCCGAAAAAAGTTTGCAAACCGGAACACCTACTTCTGGGTTTGCAGCATTCAAATTTCAAGTAGTTTGTGAACTAAGCTGTTCGAAAACTGAGGCATCACTGTATGTTAAACTATCCTAGTACCTAGAGTCACTTGAGAATTCTAAGACACTGGAAAAAACAGTGCAGTTTTCAAAAATCAGTGGTTTAAGTCAGTGTATTTATGAGTCCTGATTCCAAATGGCATCCCATTGTATCCATGCATGGACAAAAACCGCTCCTTGGTCTCAGAAACCACCATGAAAAATTTGCTGACAATAGCTAAAGAGGTGTCTAAATGCCTTGTGAACATACAACACCCTCCCAAAAAACCCCCCTTTTATATGAATGAGGAACCAGTGATAACCAAGTTCAGTTTCCAATAATAATGGATTCCAAACAACAAATGTTGATCATGGAAAATCCATTATTCATGAGAGTGAAATTACCTGCCTCTCTGCTCTATGATTGGGTGCCTAATTTTTTAAAAAAACCCTTCTCCTTTTAAGACGAGGCTGTGAAGAAAAGTCTGATGGAAGCAACAATTCTAATAAGCAAAGCGCTTCCACCCATAAAGTGGAGCCGAGTACCTGCCTCATAGTAATTAATTTTTTTTTTTTTACAAAGCCCTGACCATCTTCGGTCCAGGGTGCCTCAGGACCCTGTTCTACCTCCACAGCGGAAGGCAGCAGTGTTTCTGAAGATCAGTTGCTGGAAGCCACAGGCAGGAAGAGGGAGAGCTCTGTGCAGGTGAAAGATGGACCTTATTCCCAGATCCAGGAGGCCCACTCTTCTCCCATAGTTGTCAAGTGGGCTTGGCTGGAGAGAGAGCACAATTCAGGGCTTGGTGTGTTGGTAACAGCGATGGTGTCTCCAGTTCTGACATGCTGTGTGCTTCCTCACAACAGGATATTATCGAAGAGGAGCCCCAGGGGGGCTTCTCAGTCACCGCCCTAAAGCAAGCCATGGAGACCATCACCCACCTGACGTAAGTATGGGGAGGTACTTCTAGTCTCCCTACAGCTTGTCATTGCCCCACCTATTCCTGGCACCTCCCTTGCCGCACTAGGAGCCGTGGGGAGCTCTTTCATTAGGAGGTCCCTGTTGACGGCTGGAAATGACCCTCAGCCACCCCAGAAAGACCCCTGCCCTGAAGGTTTACCCCAATATGATAGACACCAGTTGGTGCCGTTGGAAGCATGCAAAGATGACATGGTGCAGCCACCGTTTGGGGCTGCCATTGCCAGTCCGAGGAACTGAGCGGATGCGGCAGTTCTGTGGCCCCTTCCCGATGACCTGCTTCCTGAACCTTCGTCCTGCTCTGTAGGCAAAAGTTTGTGGGGATGTTGACTGAGGTCAGTGATTGAGCGCTCGTTATTTAAATCAAATCGATTTAAATAACGATTCAAATCACTAGTCTGAAAGACTTCATTTAAATCATATTTTTACATTCTTGCTGGTATAATCTTAATATTTACAACCAGATGAAGGTTTCATTTTGGGAATAATACATTTTCAGTGTAGTTTTTACAGTTAAATCAAAAATTACTGATTTGGTTATACTGTTAGAAGTACATAGACAGATAATTATGAAATTATTGTGAGGTTTAATAAGTTAACTGTTTATATTTGGACAACTTTTCTGCTGTAATTTGTTGGCAGGAGAATAACAATTTAAACAATTTATTTACGTAAAACAATAGGATTTTAGCATATCTATCCATGTTTGTTAATTGATGGGGTTAAACAAAAAATAAAAACTTAGACTGAGTTTTAGCACATATGAAAAACTTAAAACAAATCCTTATTTCCTGATGAATAGCCTTTGGACTATAATGCAACTTAAATAGAAAACTATCTTTAGAAAGATTTTTCCTCCAAAAGCATTTTATTTTAAAAATCTGATTTAAATTTAAAAAATCAGTTTTTTTTATTAAAAATAAATAAATCATGGTCTTTTATATGAATGAGGAACCAGTGTTAACCAAGTTCAGTTTCCAATAATAATGGATTCCAAACAACGAATGTTGATCATGGAAAACCCATTATTCATGAGAGTGAAATTAACTGCCTCTCTGCTCTATGATTGGGTGTCTCAATTTTATAAGATCCCTTCTCCTTTTAGAACGAGGCAGTGAAGAGCACTTTTATAAAGGCGACAATTCTAATAAGCAAAGCGCTTCAGGGGGAAGATGTCATCTTCCCTAATAAAGTGGAGCAGAGTACCTGCCTCATAGTAAGTATTTTTTTTTACAAAGCCCTGAGCATCTTCGGTCCAGGGTGCCTCAGGACCCTGTTCTACCTCCACAGCGGAAGGCAGCAGTGTTTCTGAATATCAGTTGCTGGAAGCCACAGGTGGGAAGAGGGAGAGGGAGAGCTCTGTGCAGGTGAAAGATGGATCTTATTCCCAGATCCAGGAGGCCCACTCTTCTCCCATAGTTGTCAAGTGGGCTGGGCTGGAGAGAGAGCACAATTCAGGGCTTGGTGTGGTGGTGGCAGCAATGGTGTCTCCAGTTCTGACATGCTGTGTGCTTCCCCACAACAGGAGGTTATCGAAGAGGAGCCGCTGGCATCGTTCTCAGTCTTACACCAAACGACGGAAACCATAATCCGCATGACGTAAGTATGGGGAGGTACTTCTAGTCTCCCTACAGCTTGTCACTGCCCCACCTATTCATGGTACCTCCCTTGCCATACCCTGAAATTGTACATCTTGGCCAAACACAGTGCACGTTTCCTCACCAGGTTTATGGACTGCTGGGTGCTGATCATTTCCTCCCCCCTTCTTTCTCTTTCCTCTTCAGTGCCCACTCTTCTCCCCTAGGAGGACCCACTTGCCAGTTGCAAAGAAGGGGTCAAGTGGGCTGGGCTGGAGAGAGAGCACAATTCAGGGCTTGGTGTGGTGGTGGCAGGGATGGTGTCTCCAGTTCTGACATGCTGTGTGCTTCCCCACAACAGGAGGTTATCAAAGAGGAGCCAATGGCATCGCTCTCAGTCTTACACCAAGCGATGGAAACCATAATCCGCATGACGTAAGTACGGGGAGGTACTTCTAGTCTCCCTACAGCTTGTCACTGCCCCACCTATTCCTGGAACCTCCCTTGCCATACCCTGAAATTGTAGCCTGTACTTCCCCACAACAGGAAGTTATTGAAGAGGAGCCGCTGGGCTCATTCTCCATTGCCATGCTCCAAAAAGCTCCTGCATAATATTCCATAAGAACTTATGTCTAATTGTGTCGAAGGCCTTATACACATCCAATTTTAACACATCCAATTTTAAGACCATCTGCTTCTAGGGATCTGAACGGACGGAAATGGCTTGTCAGTTGGAACTGTGGCCAGATTTTAAAAAATTGAGGGCAAAAAGGCTGAGCCATGTAAGCTACGAATAATGCTGCCAGAGATACTTGGCCCATCACAAGGATGTAACAACCAGAGAGACAAGCTGTAGGGAGACTAGAAGTACTGTACCTCCCCGTACTTACAAGCAATAGAGGCTGTAATCCATCTGATGTAAGTACGGTCACTGCCCTACCTATTCCTGGCACCTCCCTTGCCATACCCTGAAATTGTACCCTGTACTTCCCCACAACTGGATATTATCAAAGAGGAGCCCCAGGGGGTATGATCAGCACCCAGCAGTACTTATTATCGAAGAGGAGCCCCAGGGGGGCTTCTCAGTCACCGCCCTGAGACAAGCAATAGAGGCTGTAATCCATCTGACGTAAGTACGGTCACTGCCCCACGTATTCCTGGCACCTCCCTTGCCATACCCTGAAATTGTACCCCGTACTTCCCCACAACAGGAGGTTATCAAAGAGGAGCCGCTGGCATCGCTCTCAGTCTTACACCAAGCGATGGAAACCATAATCCGCATGACGTAAGTACGGGGAGGTACTTCTAGTCTCCCTACAGCTTGTCACTGCCCCACCTATTCCTGGAACCTCCCTTGCCATACCCTGATATTGTACCCCGTACTTCCCCACAACAGGAAGTTATTGAAGAGGAGCCCCTGGGGAGCTTCGCAGTTTCTCTGCTCCGGCAAGCCATGGACGCAGTCACCCACCTGACGTAAGTACGGGGAGGTACTTCTAGTACACTCTTCTCCCCTAGGAGGACCCACTTGCCAGTTGCAAAGAAGGTGTCAAGTGGGCTGGGCTGGAGAGAGAGCACAATTCAGGGCTTGGTGTGGTGGAGGCAGGGATGGTGTCTCCAGTTCTCTGACATGCTGTGTGCTTCCCCACAACTCTTTCCTCTTCAGTGCCTTGAGACCACCTCTGAATTCCTTGCAGGTGTCTCCCAGGACCAGCCCAATACATTCTCCACCCTCACTCCTCCCTGTAAGGAGGCATCTCTAAATCACAGCAGTCCTGACACTGTCTCAGCTTCCTGACATATTAAAGTGCCCTCTTAACCTATTGACAGAGTTGCCCAAATTGTCTGAAGGCACATACACGGGTGGCCTCCTTGTCAGTGACCCTTTGTAGAGGTCACTTTGGTGACGGATCTTTGCATTTTGTTTTCTGGTGAAATTCTCAGCCCTGCTCTCCTACCACCTGGTTCCATAATTATGCTCCACAGCTGCTGAATTAGCACTTTTTCTGTGAGCTTTGGATCATCTCCCCTCCCCTTCTTTCTCATTACTCTTCAGTGCCTTGCAGCCACCTCTGAACGCACAGGTTAGATCGGAGCTGGTGGAGAAAACCATCATGAAGGTCTTCTCTCTGATGAAGCTGAGAGACAGGAGCCCCATGCGAGCAACAGAGATGCAGGTAACTGGACCTTCTGCTTCTAGGGATCTGAACGGAGGGAAATGGCTTCTCGGTACAGCCTGGAACTGTGGCCAGATAAAAAAAATTGAGGGCAAAAAGGCTGAGCCGTGTAAGCTACGAATAATGCTGCCAGAGATACTTGGCCCATCACAAGGATGTAACAACCAGAGACCCTGGGTGTATATTCTTGAGTCTCTCGGTATGTGTGTCATTTAAAAGGTGTTCCCTCACCTGGGTAATGGACAGGTGGTATAGAAATAAAGTCTCACCACAACCACCACCCCTGTGGCTCTTTCCCCAACTTCAAAGGATATCTTGCCTTCATTCTGGCTACGGGCTGCAAAAAGGTTTTCATTCTTTGAAAAGAAATAGAGTTGAAGAATGTGTCCTTCTCCAGGTGTGCTGCCATTGGCCCCGGTCAGCATGGCCAACAGTCAGGAGTAGTTGGAGTCCAATAACCAGGCATGGGGAACCCGAGGTGCTCCAGAAGTAGAACAATAGAGCTTCTGTTTTGGATCCACAAGGTCCCAGGTTCAATCCTCAGCATCTCCAGGTGGGGCTGGGAAAAGACTCTCTGTCTGAAACCCCAAAGGGCCAACTGCCAATTATCATCTGTAGACGACACAAGGTTGGAGGATAAATGGCTGGGCTTGGTCTAAGGATGCTCCCTGCATTCCATTGCTATGGCTGTGGTGAGGTGTAGGTTGTATTATTGAATTTATCATATAAACACACAAATGACAGATCACAACATAAAAATACAAAATCAAAACATAAAATGCTTAATAAAACAAAAACAACTCAAGAGCCAATTAATATCTAATTCTACTAAAGTTTTTTTAAAAAAATTAATGGCTTCTTTTTTCTATATCTTTATTTCTTATTTTGTTTATAAGCTGCCTTCAGTCCCTTTCAGGGAAAAAGGCAGGGTATAAAATAATAATAATAATAATAATAATAATAATAATAATAATAAAGTAAAACAAATAGCAGCAAACTTTCTCCTTTACAAAACAACCCCTTTTTGCAAGTTGTCCCCTCTATGGTCCTGGGATGATTCATCGAACTAGTAGCCCAAGCTTTATGAATTTGCAAACCTGGATTAATGGTGGTTCTTCCATATGATGATTATTAAAGACCTGTGAGCAGGAAAGAGCTGTACCAGCTTCCTGTTGAAGTACGTCTCTCAACATTGAACCTAGATGTGAGTAAGCAGGTGTCAAACTGACTTCTGGACCAAGGCTTAACCAGATCAGGAAGCTAGTGAGTCGGAAAGGCTTCAAGTATTGTTTGTGGTTGTTCTTGTGTTTGTTTTATTTTTGTTATTGAAAATTTAATAAAATTATTATATATCTATATAAATTTAGAACCTTTTTCAACACAGACACATTATAGACACACATCTAAGCATGGGTATTTCTTAGATCCCAGCCCTTGTCTAGGCATTTGTGTCTGCTTTGTGCAAGGGTTGAAAACAACCATCCATTTCTCTGGTGACATAACAACTCAACCCTCTAATAACTGATCCTACAGCACAGGGCCCCAGCCCCATAGCTGTACTCCTGCCAGGACAAGAGGAGCTCAACAAGGATGCAGCAGCAGTTCTCCTTCCACCTGCTGCATCCATTTTGTACAGAAAGGGGAGACTTGGCCTTGAAGAAGGGTACTTCTTCAGCCAGCCTTACAAATGTCAAAAAGTTACTAGCCTGCAATATTTGTTTTGCCCCCTCCTCCAAAGTCAGGATGGAAACGCAGCAAAAAAGTGGCTTCTTCCATGAAGGATGGTGGAGGAGAGACACTCTGATAGTCCACTGTGTTTCTGTGATGACTGCGGATGAGATAAGAGTACTCTTCCTTTACAGCTAGACAAGAAATCAAGTGAGCTGGCTGCTCAGTCACTTGCATGAAATTCCTGGTTGCCTGGGGCTACTAGGCAAGTCGTCAAATACTAGGCATTCTTCAGTGATTTTAGAACCAATCCCTTTCACCTTTTGAGTCTTCGAACACATGGATTTCTCCATCCCCTTAGGTGCCACTTTGAATTGGCGAAGGCTAACAATACAATACTTTTTCCCCTCTGAGAGCTTGCCATTTCTTGCCAACAGAGGCCTGTGGGACAGGTCACAAAGAATGAACAAAGAGTTTGTACCCCTTCTATGTGATGCCTCTTGAAGAGCATGACTGGGAGTTGTGGCTAGACATTAGCAAGAAAACATGCCCTTCTGGTTTCAGCTACTCCTTTCAAAGAAGTCTTCAAAAGCGAATAAACTTCTTCTTATCTTTGTACTGACCTGCTGCCCAGGCACTTGTCCTGTACTTTTCCAGGCATCCACTGGGGCAGGAGCTGCAGCTGCAGGCACCTTTGCCTTCACTTCCCCATTTTGACCTTTCAGCAGGTGTCTTGCTCAAAAATTCCTCTCATTGGAAATTCCTAGAGATTGAGCAGACAAAATAAGAAAAACGTCCAAGTTGTTTTTACAAAGCACTTCCCAAACTGAAGCTTCCCCCCAAAAAGAGGAAAGGAAATGAAAGCAGCACCAAAGAAAGAAAAGCTTAAGCAGCCCAGGAAAAAACTCTTAATGAAGAAAAACAAACCAGCCCAGACTTAGGAAGGCCCAAGGATAACCTTGCCCAACACAAAGAACCCTGCACCTTGGACTTACACTTCCCATCCGGAGGCAGGGGCCAAACATTTGGTTGAAGAGTCCTGCAGGGTTACACCACCGACCAAAGATTAATAGTCTTTTTATAGACCCCAGTTATGACATCAGCTGCCTGACTACACTTTTATAAGAAGCTCAATTATTTTGTATACCAAACAGATTCTTAATGGCTTTGGAGGTACTTGATAAAGCTTTATAATTCCATGAGCAATTAGCCTATGCTCCTTCCTACCATTTCTTAGACAATCATGAAGTTGTCAAGTCTTATTCCAAGCCATGTTTCAGTGGCTAGAACAGGATCAATCACAACACAGAACCAAAGACCAGGGAGAGGACCAGAGAAGACGACAAGCGTAATTTTTGCTGCCTTGTTCCTGAGCTTTTCACAAGGCAATTAGAGCAAGTTTCCACACTTCTGTCATTCAGGGCTGGAACATCCTATTGTATGTAATTTACTACCTATCAATGTGGGCTGGCTGCTTTGGCATAACCCCAGCTTCTCTCTGGATTTGAAGGGCCCAGCCAGGACCCAAGGAGTGGGTGGAGGGCAACAATTAGCACAACACAAAGAGAGTGCAAGCTGATCAACCACTGCACCAGCACTTAGCCAAATAAAGAGGTTGAAATCCAAGGCACAGCGTCAGTAGTAAATGCAGGTCAGCAGTCACTCACTGCTAAAGACCCGTTGGGGGGGGGGAGGTGCAACAACAGTTAAGTGCACCCAGAATATGACCACATGGAATTAATTGTAAACTGCTCATCCAGCTCTTTTTAGCTGGAGATGCAAGATGTGTGCCCCCCCCCAGAGATGTTAGAATCACAGACCTACAGAATTAGAAGGAATCCTAAGGGTCCTCTAGTCCAGTGTTTCCCAACCTTGGGCCTCCAGCTGTTTTTGGACTACAACTCCCATCATCCCTAGCTAGCAAGACCAGTGGTCAGGGATGATGGGAATTGTAGTTCAAAAACAGCTGGAGGCCCAAGGTTGGGAAACACTGCCTAGTCCAACCCCCTGAAATGCAGGTGGCCATTACGAAGATCGAACCTGCAACCTTGGCATTATCAGCACCACGCTCTAACCAACCGAGCTAACTAGTGCAGGGGGGCCTTCTTCTGTAGAAGGGCAATGCGAGGCCTCCCACAACCTACTCACTTTGCCTCTGGGAGCCTGGAGGTCCGAGCCTCCCTTTCTAGCTCCATACAGAAGTAGGATCATTTGGGGGCAGGGACCGGCAGTCTTTCCTGTTGCGAGTGGGACGCCTCATTCTGGGGCCGAAAGAGGCTCTGGGTCTCTTTCGCAGGGTCCCGGGCTCGGGGGTCCCTGGGTGAAAGGGAGAGGCTATGGAGACACACAATATCATACATAGGACCCCTCAAGGGCCATGCAATATACGTTCCCCCCCCCCCCAGCCCTGTCTTTATCCTCAGGACGCGAGGAGGGAGCGGCGAAGAGGCTCTGGCTCTGTTTCGCGGGTCCCGGACTCTGGGGCAACAGCCGAGATCTTGAAGCAACGGCCAACTGCCACGGCCAACGGCTCCCCGCCCTGCCACGCCCCCCGCGCCCGACTCTCGCCTCTCATTGGCTGAGAGGACCCGGGCTTCGCCCAGATACAGAATCGGAAGAGCCGGCCAATAGGGAGGCCTCGAATCGGGCGCGTGAGAAAGGAAAGAGGGGTTGGAGCCGGCTCGCCCACTGCCTTCTGGGAGTCGTAGTACCTGCCCTCTATTCTTCCCCCCAGAGAAAGGAAATGAATGACAGGGAGGACTGCGTTTCCCAAAAGCCAACGCGGTGCGGCTTCTGAGCTACGGGTCGCGAGAAGAGGCAAAAGTGCTGTTTTCCCTCCCAGGTGTGCAGGTGCAGGTGGTCAGAGGCTGATGCGGGAGGGAGGAGGAGGAAAAGGGAGGAGAAGGCCCTGCGCAGCCTCAGCAGCTCCAGCCACACCAAGCCCTACCTGGAGAAGCTCCCCTGGCATCCCTGGTTGGCATGGAAACTGCCAAGGGATGGAACCGCAAAGAGCCTTTCTTCCCTCCCTTGTTCATTCCATGGCGCTTCCTCCCCTCCTTCCCAACAGCCCTGGGAGGGAGGCCAGGCTGAGAGGCAGGGACTGTCAGCCCCCCCCCCAGCTCTTCCTTTTTTATTCGCACAACAGCCCTGGGAGGTCAGCCAGAAGGAGAAGCACGGAAAATGCTCTAAGGCTGCTTATTTTATTGCATTTATATCCCGCCTTTTTCTCCGAGGAGCCCAAGGTGGCACAGATGGTTCTCTCCCTCCTCGTTTAACCCCCACAACAACACTGAGGTAGGTTACTCTGGCAGGCACTGATTGACACACACACCCGACGTCACCCTTAATGGCCGAGTGGGGATTTGAACCCTGGTCTCCCAGGTCACAGTCCAACACTCTAGCCACTGCACCACACTGCCTCTCCTTCGACTTTGCTATGGCAGAAAATCCTGCCTGGAGCCTCCCATGTTTTGGACCTGACCTTCGGCACACTTGCCCCCCCCCCCGCCCCAAAATTAGTTACCTTTGTTTGGAGGAAAAATATCTGCTACTTTCCCTTTTTCTTCTTCTTTTTGAAAGGCGTGCCTTCTCCAAAGTGTACATGTGATCTTCTCTTTTGCCCCTGGGATATTTCTAATCTAACATCCAGGCTTTTAAGGCAGAATTTCCCATTTGATCTAGGACAGGCATTGGCATCCTGGCCCTCCATATGTTTTGGGACTACAACTCCTATGATCCCTAGCTAACAGGACCAGTGGTCAGGGCTGATGGGAGTTGCAGTTACAAAACAGCTAGAAGGCAGAGTTTGGGGGTGCCTGCTTTAAAATATGTGACATACTTTGTTCTTGGTCTCCTAAGAAAGGTGGGGGGACTTCGTTGCAACAGAATAAAGATCTGCCTTCAGCTCATTCATCTCTGACCAATAACGAACTTGGAGTCCCTTAAAAGGGAAGTTAGGCCATTAAAGACACACCCCTTACGTCTGGTAACACTGTGCCAGGTGGGTCTGATGGGTCCAAAACATCTGAAGGGTTGGGGCAGACGGCTGAGCTGAATGGTGGGCAACATTCCAGACTTTTCTGTGCTCTCCCTCCCTCTCCAGAGTGCAAGCCGATCTTCAGATGACCCTGTGGTGGCAGTTAGGGGAAGGAGAGGACACCTCAGCAGGAAAGTTGGAAGCTCATTCAATCAGCTTTGCTCGGGAGCATTTTCTTCTTTGGACTACAACTCCCATCATCCTTTGATAATTGGCAATTTTGGCTGCAGCCGATAGGAGTTAGAAATCTGAAGGGCGCTCGCTCGGCGGGTTGTAGCACGTGGATGCCCGGGGGTGGGGCTTCCAGCGTCGATCTTCTACTTGTTTACACGAAGAAGAATCTGGAGAAGCGTGCATGCACACGAAAGCTCATACCAATAACAAACATAGTTGGTCTCTAAGGTGCTACTGGAAGGATTTTGTTTGTTTACACGAGAGTAAGCTCCCTTATACTCGAAGAGGATTTTTACGTCCACATCACGGGTGACAGAGCTAACAGGGTGGGCATTTGTTTATTTTTGGCTCCCTAGGGCTTCCGTCGCAGCTGCCGCGAACGGCACGGCGGAACTGGATGCGTCGCATTGATTTATTGATAGATTGACGTCCGCACGTCCAGTTTCCGATTTCTTGGAAGCGAGAACTGTCCGTAGGAGAAGCGAAATCACAAGGTTTTTGTTTTTTTTAAAATAAATTTTTATTAATTTTCCAAACACATAATAAAAACAAACAATACACAAAACAAAAACATACAAACATATAAACATGTATAATTTCATAATCTTATTTTCATGCACCTTACTTCCTGGACTTCCCCATACCTCCCCTTTTCTGCATCCTTGTTTTACATTTCTTCAGCAACCCTCCAATTAACTAATTATTTAATTCACTTTCATTAGATTCTTTTTTCTTTAACTTATTGATTACAGCTGCAATTCTCTATTTCTTAACACCTTAACATCTTAGCACTCCTCAATTTTACAGCAATTTTTAAGATAAATTTTAAATTTCTTCCAGTCTTCTTCCACTGTCTCTTTCCCCTGGTAACGGATTCTGCCAGTCATCTCTGCCAGTCCCATATAGTCAATCACCTTCGTCTCGAAATCACAAGGTTTTAAAGTCGCTGCTGTGGCTCCACGCATGCCCAGCCATAAGCAACAGGCAACTACTAGAGTTCGTGCTCTTTCGAATAGGTGTTATTTCATGCGAGGAAATAAATTGTGAGCTAGAACTTTCTAAAATGGTGCTCCGTGGAAATCAAGGCGTCTTTCGGGTGCAACCGAGCACTGGATTTGGGTTGGGAGGTTCTCGAGGCGAGCGCAATTTAAAGTGAGCCACGTCTGCTGCAACCTACCAAGTGTTCTGCATGGAGTGAGGAGTCGGTGGACCTAGGAAACTCTTAAAAGGAGAGTATCACATGCTTCCACCAGTTTTAAAAGAGTGAGGAGGAATGAGCTGTCTTTCCCATTGGAATTTGAAGGCGCAAAGTTGTTTTTAAAACGTTTAGAAGGGACTTTTGAAAAACCATTCCCATAGCCCTCAAAATATGACTGGAATGGGAAAGAGCAGAACGTCTATTTTTATTTTTACATTTATATCCCGCCCTTCCTCCAGGGAGCTGAAGGTGGAATACATCGTTCTCCTCCTCTGCATTTTGACCTCCCAACAATCCTGTGAGCTAGGCTAGGCCGGGGGCGAGTGACTGGTCCAACGCCACTCAGTGACAGCTTCACGACCAAGCGACTGGGGATTTGAACCCCGGTATCTCCCAGCTCCTTCTCCGACACTCGAACCGCTGCACCACACTGCCTCTTTCCCTTGCTGCTTCCCTCGGATGAACACGCTGCTGCTGCTGCTGCTGCTGCTCTCTGCCCCTTCCGCCCCGAGAGGGAGTTTTGAAAAAGGAAAAGCGGGAGGGGCGCCGCGAACTCGGAAACTCCCTGGCGAGGCAGTAAGATGCGCCAGTCTATCCTTCGTATCTCTGCCGCTGAGGGAGAAGGTGACGACTGCAGAAGGAGGAGGAAGTTACTTCCGCTAAAAAAGGCGGGAGTGGGTGGGGGGGCGAGGTGAACTACACTTCCCAGCGCCCTTTGCGCCCGGTGTGCTTATGTATGAGGGCTAGCTATGAGAGGGAGGGGTACGAGGCGGGGCCGGCCTGGCCCTTTTAAAGGTCTGCGAGGGGGCGAGGGCGGCGGTGCTCCTCGTCAGTCTGCGGCGGGGACCAGGTAACCGGGGGGGCGCAGGGGCCTTTCCCCGCCCTCCCCTCGCCGCCCGCCTCTCCCTTCCTTCGCGCGCCCTGGGGGCCTCCGCTGAGGAGAGCTGGCCCTGTTGAATGACTGCCTGCCGCTTGGCCCTCAGGGCGGTCCCGCCGAGACCTCCTTTGCTCGCTCCTCCCTCCCCCGCGCTGGCTGAGCTGCCCGTGGGCTCCCCTCCGCCGGGCGGCCGGGCGACCTTCCTCCGCGCCTCGCTCGGCCGGCTGCTGCCGTGAGGCTGGGCTCCGGGGCCCGGTCATGTTCGGGGCCCGCCCCGCTCGCCCGCCTCCCTTTCCCCTCTATCTCACCCCAGCGTGAAGTGGTTCGAGAGTCTGGACTCGGGCCCAGGGTCCAAATCCTCACTCGGCCACGAAGCTCCCTCGGGGCCCCCGGGCCAGTCACCGCTTCACAGGGTTGAGCCCTCTTTCCCCAACCCCCCACAGCGGTCAGGGCTGTCAGGGAATCAGTGGACGGTGCTGTGATTAGAGTGACAGACCTGGACCTGGGAGACCAGGGTTCCTTTCCCCACTCGCCCATGAAGCTTGCTTGGTGACCTTGGGCCAGTCACTGCCTCTCAGCCTAATCCTACTTTGCAAGGTTGTTGTTGGGAGCTGGAGAACTATGGAAGCCACCTTACGCTCCATGGAGAAAATGGTGGGACATAAATGCAACAAATAAGTCAATAAATAAGCAAGGCTGCACAGATGTGGTGGACCAGGTTGGTGGGACGCTTCAGGCACCAAGTATGGTATCTGTCCCTGGCACATTGTGTGTGTATGCGTGTGGAATCGCTGGTTGCCCATCCCATCGGATACTTTAAGAAGCACCGCTGTGAAATGCATTTGCATGTTTCACCTGCACCCTACTGTCCACTTTGTTTTGCTCAGCTGGTGGGTGGCTGAGGAGGGTGCTGTGTATCCCTACTGGGGCTTTGCAAACATGGCACAGGCACTCAGCTTGCAAACTGTGACTCCCATCTGGTCCAGGCTGGCTTTCATCTGGTTGGGGTGGCTACAGGTAGCCCAAGCTATGACAAGCAGCAGCCTGGTGTGTAATGTGGAAGGTCAGAGTGGATTGGGTTACACCAGGGGTGCCCAAACTTTTTTCAAAGAGGGCCAGATTTGATGAAGTGAACATGTGTGAGGGCTGACCAAAGTTGTTGAGCTTTTTTAAAGAATTGTTGGGCTTTTTAAAGGATTTAACCCCAAATTTGTTGACATATACTTCCACGGGGGCCAAATTAGGCTCCCGAAATGGACTTCAGACATGCCTGGGTTACGCTAACTTTTCCTGTTGTTGATAGGAGAAGCGAGACTGGGTCAGCGGGAGCGGGGAATTGATGGTTTCTGGGTCTTATCAGCAGAAGTTTGAACCCAGTGCACTGAGACCACTTGGTGTAAGAGCTGCACAGCATCAGTAAACGTTTCTTTACTCTGTCTCCTCCTGGTGTCAGTCTACTGAGTTTAACTGCACTGTAGCATACCATAGTCTGAAAGAAAAGCAGCTAAGCAAAGCTATCCCCACCCCACCCCACCCTACAATGTTTGAAGAAAGCGCAGTCAGGAACTGGAGAAGGAGTGAAAGGGGAGTTGAACTGAATTGTCTTATGGGGCAGATAAAAAAAGATGAGGCTTCAGGCAGCTGTTTCTTGATGAAGGTGAAGAAGTAACAAGTATTTAATCCTTATCTGTGTTGTTTCTCATGGAAAAGTAAGAAACCAGTTTTGATTGCTACATTAGAAGCATGCTAGGATCCCAGAATAAATGCTGCATTCTTTACTAGAAATCCAAGTGAAGGAGGCAACATAGATTCATATGTGGTTGAAAGCTGTTGGCACAAAGCTGTGTTTGGGGAGCTCCTTGTATTGTACTGTGCGTGGCATAAAATTTTAAGGCAGAAGTGGCTGCAAAGTTGTCAAGTCTGGGAGCAGTATTTGTTTATTATTTACTTCGTATTATTCAACAACTTTTCAACATGTGTGCATTCTTCCCCTACTCTTAGTTAACTTCACAGGCGAATTCTTTTTAGTTTCTTAAATGTTCTGATTGGGGCTAATAGGAGTTGTAGCTGGAAACATTGGGAGGGCACCAGGTTGGGGATGGTTGAACTAGATAGATTCCCAAGGTGAAGTACACCAACAGAAACAAATGAGAGAACCACTCATGGGTGCACTGAGTTCTTCTACTTTGGAAGGTGTGCGGATCTTTGACATGTTTAACTTACAAAGCCTTGCAAGCTGAAACACATCAATACCAGATTAGTCATATTTTCTGGAAAATTTAAAGAGGCTGTAGGTAAATGCAATCAGAACTGCAGGTATGTATATAGAGCAATTTAAAAACAGTGCTCTAAGTCAGAATTGTCCATTTCTTTACATCCTGCTGAAAGAAAACTGCAAAGCAATTGCTTGCTGTAAATCTTAATTAAACACATTGTTTTAAAACTGCATGGAGCCTTGGAGGGAACACCACATGTTTCTCAGATGTTTCTCTTAATATTATAGAAAAAATACTTATTTATATGACCCATACAGCACAGTAATTGTAATTTTAAAAAGCAACTTCCCATTATATAACTGCCCAGACCATTCCTATCGCACAAAAAATGAATTCCATCAGGAGCAAACAAGGGGTGGCAGTAATCACTGGGCAGCCCAGTTTTCCCTCTTCTGTTTAAAGTAAATGTTTGACAGGTACTTTGAGCCAGTTGCAGAGATTACTTAGTTACTAGGCATAAAATAGGAATGAAAGGTTAGCCAGATGGATCAATAGATTACACTTGTGTTGGCTTTCCAGTACCTGCACCTTGTACCCTAGTAGAAGGACATTGAATTATTTTGATGACCAAGAAGGATCTCCTTTTACCCAGGTTATTCTTTGCAAAGAAAATATATTTGTGGGGCTTGCCTGGTGTTTTTACATGAGTAGAATGTGTGCTTTTATTTAAAATGCATCTCTGGGATATTTGTGGGGCATAGGAATTTGTTCATTATTATTTTTCAAAATGTAGTCCGGCCCCCCAAGGTTTTGCCTTACTGCAGGGGTCAGCAAACTTTTTCAGCAGGGGGCCAGTCCACTGTCCCTCAGACCTTGTGGGGGGCCGGACTTTGTTTACTAAATATAAGTAATATAAATCAAAATTAAGTTCTGTCTCTAGGAGGATCAACATTTTCTGATGTAAAAGACTCTGTGCAAATTACCCTAACTTGCATAGGAAATATTTCTGTGAAACCCACAGCACTGCATCAGTCACCTACAACTGAGCTATAAACTTGAGAGGCTGTTCCTTGAAGTCTTTGTGGACTCATATCCCAGATTGAAATATTTTATGGAAAACAAAACAAAAAGAATCCCTGCTGTGAAAAAGATGCTGGGAATGAATTCATTGGATTTTTATTTTTAAAGGAAGTGTCATAATCTGGTTGATTACTGTTCAAAATACGTGAAAATAGTTGGAAGCAAATCTTTCAATAAAATGTGAAGAGAATGCGAATATGCAACATTACCTGTGTAGTAAAATGTAGACAATACACAATTATTAGCTTAGAACCAAGGGTCAATCTATGAAGGAAAAAAATGACAAACTAACTTATCTAATTACAGGAAGAACAGGAAATATGCACACAGGGACAGGTACGTTTTATAAGACTTTCTATATTAGTGATGGTGGGTGATAACAATTTTATATTCTTCTGTAATTAGATGAGTTATTTTGTCATTTTTTACCTTCCATGCATTTAATTTGTGCAATTTCAACTGGCTGGCTGCGTTGTGATATTCTTGGAACTACAAGAATACTGTTCCTGAGGACTTCTTATGCACATCAACCTGTTTTACTTTTCTCTAAACCTTCAGCCAGTCTCCTTGGGCTTAATCCACTAGATGTGTCTTAATGAGGACGGAGTGTGACTAAATTGAGCCTGGAGGCTTATATTATGTATTTGAGCATGGATAATCCACTTTTTAGGGGACGCGGGTGGCGCTGTGGGTAAAACCTCAGCGCCTAGGACTTGCCGATCGCATGGTCAGCGGTTCGAATCCCCGCGGCGGGGTGCGCTCCCGTCATTCGGTCCCAGCGCCTGCCAACCTAGCAGTTCAAAAGCACCTCCGGGTGCAAGTAGATACAGTGGTGCCTCGCAAGACGAAAAGAATCCGTTCCGCAATTCTCTTCGTCTTGCGGTTTTTTCGTCTTGCGAAGCAAGCCCATTAGCGGATTAGCGCTATTAGCGGCTTAGCGGGCTTAGGGGATCAGCTGATAAGTGGCTTAGCGGATCAGCTGTTAAGCGGCTTAGCGGATCAGCTGATAAGCGGCTTAGCGATCAGCTGTTAAGCGGCTTAGCGGATCAGCTGATAAGCGGCTTAGCGATCAGCTGTTAAGCGGCTTAGCGGATCAGCTGTTTAGCGGCTTAGCGGATCAGCTGATAAGCGGCTTAGCGGCTTGGGAAAAGGGGGGGGGGGGAGGAAAAAAACCCTGCAGGAACTCGCAATACATTTTCGTCTTGCGAAGTAAGCCCATAGGAAATTTGTTTTGCGAAGCACCTCCAAAACGGAAAACCCTTTCGTCTAGCGGGTTTTCCGTCTTGCGAGGCATTCGTCTTGCGGGGCACCACTGTAAATAGGGACCGCTTACCAGTGGGAAGGTAAACGGCGTTCCGTGTGCTGCGCTGGCTCGCCAGATGCAGCTTGTCACGCTGGCCACGTGACCCGGAAGTGTCTGCGGACAGCGCTGGCTCCTGGCCTATAAAGTGAGATGAGCGCACAACCCTAGAGTCTGGCAAGACTGGCCCATACAGGCAGGGGTACCTTTACCTTTACCTTTAATCCACTTTTTATTTCACAACAATAACTTGTTGCATTAAGCCTTAAATGATGCTTCCTTTGTGTGCATGGAAGGAGTGTTGTGATCAGCTTGATAGCAATCTTGGAATCTTTTGTCATGCATGGAAAGAGGACCCCCCCCCAAAAAAAAAAACCTTGCAATGGCTGAGAGAGACAAAACAGTTGTCAATTAAAGGACAGTCTTCCAAGGTAGACTTGTGGGAGCGGCAGAGGGGCTTGTCCATCTGTGGGCTGAGTTTGTATAATCCAGACTTGCTGTCACCTTTAGCATGCCTGGACTTCATGCCATCTGAAAGAGGCATTTCCAGTTCACGAGCACCCCTTGAATGCAAAGACCTTGCTTCATGCAGCACAGCGGGGGGGGGGGGGAGAAGACTGATGCTTAGCTGAGAATTGCAGCTGGCCAGTGAGCAACTTCCTCTTCCCAAGCTGCTGCCCTCCAGATGTTTCACGCTGCAGCTTCCTGTTAGCCCAGCCATATATATGATGCTGGGGGTAATGGCAGTTGTAGCCCCAAATACCTGGAAGGCACCAAGTTGGAGAAGGCTGCTCTAGAGCAAGAGTGGAGAACCTTTGCCTTCCAGGTGTGCCAGTCATGCTTGCTGGGGCTGGTGTGGTTCAGCAACATCTGCAAGGCCAAAGGTTCCCTACTCCTGCTCTAGAGTCTCAGAACTGCATGGATTGAGGCAGGGTCCACTAAGGATGCAGATGTACTTATTTTCTTACATTTTAATATCCTGTGTTTCTTCTGCCTTGGCATTAAGGTCAAGGATGAATTAATGAGGAAACTGGGAAGGCCTTTGTGCATGCATGCTGCTGATTGGAGATGGGGGTAGAAAGTGGTTTGGGTATGCTGCCAGATTGACCCTATCTTTTCTTCTAAATTTTGGTTCAGCTAAGATTAATCCCACACTTTTTTTTCTTTTATTGCACCAGGTGCCTTCTGATGGTTCCAGTTGGAGGCCTACAGTTGTAGCGAGTGCCCACCCACCCCTCCCTTTTCCTCTTTTCCTTCCCCCCTCCCCTCCCTCCCTCATCTGAATCTCCCCTCCCCTCCCCACCACACATGTTGTTGTGTACTTGCACTCACTAATGACAGCGTGGATCATCCTCCCCATTAGCCTCTCTGCCTTCTCGATCACTGGAATATGGATTGTGTAAGAGCTGTCTTGATGTCTGCCTGTGTTCTGCATGAATGATTAGCCTGGAAAGTGTGTGTGTGTGGCTGGCTGGCTTGTGGCTTCCAGCAAATAAGCAGCAGGTTCTTTCTCTCCCTGAACTGTTGTTCTATTTAGGAGATTGCCAAAGGCAACTCAGCAAATCTGTCCCAAAGCTGTGCTCTGAATAAAAGTTCTAGCTTTTTGTGATAGATCTTGCTGACTCGAGGTTTTGCCCCATTACAGTTTAAACAGCACTTGGGCGACACTTTGGATTATTCTTTACAGTAGATCAGGGTATTCTGGCCAGGGTGGACCATGTCTTTATCATATAGGGCCTGACTGCCTGACAAAAAGGCACACTGGTCACTGTAAGGGCAATCTTCCCTTCTGTAGTATCATTAAGAGCTTTTGGCTGCTCTTCCTCACAGCACCAAGGTGGGAAAGCTTCCCCTTTGAGAAATGTCAGCAGCTGTGGGGGTAACAGCCCTGGTGCTGGAGGGACAGGCATAAGTTCCACTATAACATCTTGTCTTCAGCTCTGCAAGGACTCAGAAATAGGCTGTGTCCTTGGCTTACCCTGCAGTTCCCACCTGCAGCCACTGAGAGGAAGTTCTCTCCAGCCTCATAAAAGGTGGTGTGTGCGCCACAACATGTTTGCTGAAAACTGTGGCAGGGACCCTGCTGTGTGCTGTTGTACAGGCAGGCCAGTCTCCCCCAAAGTGGAGACTCACAGGTGTGTTAGGCACCAGCTCCCATCAGCCCCAAACTCCTGGAGGGTGGCTGGGTTGGAGAAGCCTGTAATACACCTTTAGCATGCCTCCATTTCAGTGGGGACAGAATGGAAGGTGGTGCTGTATGTTGCTTTTGTGGAAAGGGCTTTAATGTTTCCCAACTCTGGGCCCCGGCTCTGGATAGCCAGCTCAGTTAACAGCACTTCGGGAAAGTGCACTTGTTTTTGGTCCCAGTTACACAGCGGCTGCTACTAATGATTGCTTGTGATGTGGACTACATGCAGCTGAGGAAACATTGCAGAATCATAGAATTGTAGGGCTGGAAGGAACCCAAAGGATCATTCTAGTCCAACCCCCTGCAGTGTAGGAATCACAGCTAAAGAATCCCTGATAGGTGGCCATCCAATCATCTGTTTTAAAACCTCCAATGAAGGAGAGTCCGCCTTCTTTGGGAGTCTGTTCCACTTAACGTCAGAAAGTTCTTCCTAATTTTTAGTCAGAATCTCCTTTCTTGTAACTTGAATCCATTAATTCAGGTCACCCCTCGGGAGCAGCAGAAAACAAGCTTGTGTCGCCTTCCATATAGCAGCCCTTTAGCTATTCAAAAATGGCTGTGTCATATCACCTCTCAGTCTTCTCTTCTCTCTCTCTTTTATTTTTATTTTTCAAAAACAAGCACACTAATCACTCACAAATACAGAAATACAAAATAATAACCATAAAAAGAAAAGAAAAATACATCCATGTGGCTTCCCTCCCCCAATACTCATCATCCCTTAATCTTTAAATTCTTGTTTACATTGCATCTTATGCATCTCATCCTTAATATTCTTAATATAGTAATTTTTTCTAGTTCTACTTTACAAGCAATCTATACATATCGACATGTTGCCCTTAGAACAGTGTTTAATCATACAATCTTCAAAACATTGCCATTCTAACCCTAGTTTCTGATTTGTCTGGTATCTTATGGCTGCTGTTAACTTCATTCACCATTTCTATAAATTCAGATAGTTTGCATATCCAACCTTCTTTTGTAGGTATAATATTTCCTTTCCAGTTCTTTGCAAGTAAAAGCTTGGCTGCAGCTGTTGCATATAAAAATAATCTTTTCTTACCTTGTGGAATATCCTTTCCTACTAAGCGCCTCTGGGTTTTTTTCTATAGAAAATTTGAACACCTTTTTTAACTCCTTGTGGATACATCCCCAAAATTCTTTAACATTTTCGCAGCCCCACCATACATGCATCATAGTCCCCTCCACCTCCTTACGTTTCCAACAGGGATTGGATTTTAACTTATTTATTTTGGCGAGTTCTGAAGGTGTCATGTACCACCTATAGAACATTTTCATTAAGTTCTCTTTGATGGAGTAGCAGGCGGTAAATCTTATATCGATCTTCAAGAGCCTTTCCCACTGATCTATTTGAATTGCATGGCCGATGTCTTAGGCTCATTCGACCATTACTTCCTTTATTTCTTCGTCTTTTAGGTCCCATTCCAGTATCAGATCATACACTTTGGATAATAGTTTCTTATTGTTTTTTTAATAATACTTTTTGTAATTTAGATTCTTCCTTTCCAAAGCCTATTTTTTTTATCGGAATTGAAAACATTATTTAATTGGTGGTATTGGAGCCAATCAGTAAGATGGTGCCTTATCTCCTCAAATGACTGTAAGTTGCCCAGTTACTTTCCATATTTAGTTTTTTGACTGTGAACGCCTCGAGCGGGGACAGCCACCATGGTGTATATGGTTCCAGTAATGGTTGGTATCTAGTCCACACCTTATACAAAGCACTTCTAACAATATGGTTGGTGAACCCTTGTGGACTTTTACTTTATTGTAACCAAGGTAGGTGGGACGCGGGTGGCGCTGTGGTCTAAACCACAGAGCCTAGGGCTTGCTGATCAGAAGGTCGGTGGTTCGAATCCCCGTGACGGGGTGAGCTCCCATTGTTCAGTCCCAGCTCCTGCCCACCTAGCAGTTCAAAAGCACATTAAGTGCTAGTAGATAAATAGGTACCGCTCCGGCGCGAAGGTAAACGGCGTTTCCATGTGCTGCTCTGGTTCGCCAGAAGCGGCTTAGTCATGCTGGCCGCATGACCCGGAAGCTATCTGTGGACAAACGCCAGCTCCCTTGGCCTATAGAGCGAGATGAGTGCCGCAACCCCAGAGTTGTCCGTGACTGGACCTAACGGTCAGGGGTACCTTTACCTTTAACCAAGGTAGGCATGCCACCCATATCTGTTATCCAAGCTCTCTAAATCCAGTATGTCTGTTTTTTCTAACAGAATCCAGGCTTTGATCCAAATTAGACACCGTGTCAGTCTTCTCTTTTCTCATAAGGCTTGATTTCCAGACCCTTGATCATCCTGGTTGCCCTCCTCTGCACACCTTCTAGCTTGTAAATATCCTTCTTAATCTGTGGTGCCCAGAACTGGACACAAGACTCCAGACAGGGTCTGATCTAGAGCCACCTGTTCCATGTGGGTCCAGCAGAAAAAAGCAAGAGCTGTTTGATAGTGGAATGGTCTCCCTTGGGAGGTTATGGACTCTCCTTCATTGGAGGTCTTTAAGCAGAGGTTGGATGGCTGTCTGTCATGAATGCTTTAGATGATATTCCTTCATCCCTGGGGTTGTTCTAGATGAACTTGGGGTGCCTTCCAGCTTTACAATTCTGATTCTATGACAGAAGCACAGATATTGATAGAATCCCACAGAGACACAGGCAGACAGATGGGGTGGAAATGTCCCCACAGTGATATGGAGTCCTAACCCAAACACAAACCATCTTCTGTGGCAACTACAGCCCTCTATAAACAACCTGAGAGCAGGAATTTGCTTGGGGGGGGCGGGTTTCAAGCCACAGCAAATCAGCTGGCCACTGCAACCTGTGATTTGTGTATTTGCTGAGAAGTTAGTGTTTTTGGCATTGATGTGGAACAACATTACACAGGAGCCTATAGGCCTGAAAGGCTGGTTTTGCGTGATTCTCTTGTAGCGTTTTGGACAGGCAGCTGTGGCAGGGAAGATAAGGCTGCCTACAAGTCTCTCCTGCTATTATGACCCATCAGCCCTCGGATCTGTTCTGGGTTAGCCTTGTTGCAATGGCTTCGTGTCCCCAAGGAAGCTCTCTCAAGGGAAGCAGCTTCCCTCCTCAGACATACTTAGGTGCAAACATAGGAATCCTCTCCTGCTGAGAGCCTCGCTGAACACAGACTGCAACTGGCTGGAACTCAGTAGTAATTTGTCAGCCTAAAATTGGAGGTGGCTGCTGAAGCTGAACATGCAGGCGAATTGGAGAGCAACGGTTGCATTTTTATCTTGTCTCCCAGATGCTTCTTTGAAACAGCCCTCCTAGCTTGGATCTCTTCTCAGCAGGGCCAGTTTCCTAGGTAAACAACACAAAAGCAGAGAGCAGGTTGAGAGTTCCCAAAGCACATTGGATTGTGGAAATTTTTCAAAGTCCTTTGCCTTGGTGATGGAAATTTCCAGTCTTGGGGGTGACACGTTTTACTGCTGCTTTATTGCTTACCCTGGGGAAAAGCGGTGGAGCAGGAATTGCAATTCTTTGCCTGGGGCACTTGATGCTTTCCAGTGTCACCTCTGGTCCACTCTGAACAGATGGGAGCTTGAAATGCACCCAGAGAGTGTGTGAGCAGGGCTTTGGGCAAACACTCTCAGGCTGGGATACAAGGGATTCCAGAGCAGCAGGTTTAAGCAGTTTAAGGAGCAACACCAGCTCCTTCCCAGTGCCTTTACTGGCATATAGGGAAGGGAGAGGCAGAGTCCTTTGAATCCTCCTTGGCTGCCTTAAAGACCTACACTGGTCCTCTGATAGGTCAGGGGAAAGGGAGACATTTGTCTTCATCTTAGTTCCTCTTAGGGGCAAGTTTTTCTTTTTACTTAGAACAGCTTAAAAGATGTTTGCTGCCTGTAAACCTGAATTGTTCTTGGCATAAAAAGAATGATTTGAACACCTTCCAGAACTCTGTTGCCATTCTTGTGCATCCCGTTGTAGGCTTTTAAAGCTTATTTGTTTGTCTGCTTTGAGTTATACAAAGCTAATTGGATGTGCTTCGCTTTTGGAAAGTCAGCTTCAGGTGGTATAGGTGATATAATCTTTGAACAATTGTAATATAATTTTTATTTGTTGATCTGGCCCCATTTGGCTGCTATGTTCACACACATTTTGGTCTGAATGCTTTCATGTCCAGTCCACCCTTAACTGTATTTTTCTGTTCTGACTCTCACAGGTATGCCATGGCAGTAATGAACCACCATGTGTGTCCTGTTGAGAACTGGTAAGTCCTTCCATAAAGCAAGAGGACAGAGTCCTAGCTCAGGGGGAGAGCAGCTGCTCTGCATGCAGAAGGTCCCCGATTTGCACCATGGAATCTCCTGGTAGGGTTGGGAATGTCCCCTGTTGAAAACAAATCCTAGAGAATTGCTGATAGAGTGTAGACAGAACTGAGCTAAGTGGACTAGTGGTCTGACCCAATATAAGACAACTTCATACGTTCTTAGTCTTGTTAGCTTCTTAACATTCCTTGTCCTGCAAAACTGGCCCAGTTTCTTGTTTGTACCCCTTCTTGGAGCACGTTACATTGCCCGCTAACCTGTCCAAACTGTTGCAGGTCATATAACGAGTCCTGCTCTGCTGATTCTGCCAAGCATGGATACCCCAAAAGCTGCTGCACTTTGGAGGATGTCCCTTTGATCAGGTGAGCGGGGGGAAAATTGTAATGGATTGCAATGGAGCTGTTCTGGGCACAGAGGCTACCCCTGCATCCCTTGTGGGTGAACCAGTTCTGGCTGGAGTTCAAACTGGGCATTGCCTATATGAACATAAGAAGAGCCTGTTGCATCAAGCCAATAACAGGTCTAGGCCAGCATCCTGTTCTCACAGTGGCCAGTCACATGCCTGGAGGAAGCCTGCAAGCAGAATTCAAGCGCAAGACCACTCTGTGAATCTGTCTAATCCTTTTAAATTGTCTAATTCTCTTTTAAATTGGTGGCCATCACTGCCTCTTGTAGTTCAATTGCAGTTCAATTCTGCACTGCATGAAGACGTCATCTTTTTTATCTGCCCTGAATCTTCCAACATTCAGCTTCATAGGATACCCATGAGATCTAATGTATGAGACAGAGAAAACCTTTTCTCTATGCCATGCAGAATCTTATAAACTTCTGTCATGTCACCTCTTACTTGCCTTTTCTCGTATTGTACTTGGCTTGGTCAGAAATAGCTGTTTTCCCAGTTGTGCCACCTTACAATGACTTCAGAAGTCCATCAGTTTGGCAACATCCAGGCAAATGTGTAGAACAAAGGCATCTTTGCTGGTTTCTCTCAGCCATGCTAACATTCTCATTCTTTTCCCCCTGCAGTAAATGTGGCACGTATCCTCCTGAAAGTTGTCTCTTCAGTCTTATTGGGAATGTTGGGGCTTTCATGGGTAAGTGCTGCTTCTCCCCTTTCTTCACATCTGGCCAGCCAGCATCAGTAGACAGCATCCATTCCCTCCTGAAGCATAATCTTCCCAGGATACGAGCCCCTGAGATAGAGGCTTTTCCAGAGCAAGTGCCTGACCTTCAAGGGGCATACAGGAAGCTGGCCTGGTTGTAGAGGAAACGGCTTCTGCTTGCCAAATGTGGCTAAAGATTGTCTTGTGAAGAGCTGGGGACTGAGGGAAACCCCAACCCACTGCTCAAGGGTCTGTCTTGCATCCAGGGGCATCCTGAAGGTTGACAGATAACTTCCTGGAAACATCCACATCTGCTTAGTCTTTCTACACATTTTTATGCTGATCGACTCTTGAGTCCAGGGGCTTTCTTTCCTTTTCCTTAAAGCATTCTGCTATCAAAAATGTGGAGGAATAGGGAGAAATTTTAAACTTCTGTGACCAGGCAATCAAAAGTGGTCTACACCAAGTAAAACTGAATTCTTTGACCTGTGTAATTGGAAAGAATCCATTTAACTCAGGCATAGGCAAACTCGGCCCTCCAGATATTTTGGGACTACAACTCCCATCATCCCTAGCTAACAGGACCAGTGGTCAGGAATGATGGGAGTTGTAGTCCCAAAACATCTGGAGGGCCGAGTTTGCCTATGCCTGATTTAACTTATTGTGACTCTGAGTCACGGAAGACACAAGGGAACCAAATCTTCCACCCACTGAAGCCTGTGTTCACTCTTGCCCCTGGCTGCTGGGATTCCAGCAGGTATTGCCCACATCTTTGCAGTGGCAAGAGTGAGAAGCATGCTTTATTTTATAAAAATAAAAAGGTTGACCTTTTCAAGAAGTTGGGCTCTGTACCCAGGGCCATATCCTGTACTTCCACAGAATTGCAGTGCATATAGTGTGTTGCTGCTAATTTGTGTGGGCATGAAGGGGCCCCCTGTACCCTGTGCTGCATGGTATGTCCAAGGAGTGTTTGTCTTACAACTTGGAGCAGAATCCATGGTGCCCTCTCCTTAATCTCTCTTGCTTCCCCCAACAGTGCTGGTGATCTGTTTCCTGCGCTATGGGCAGCTGATAGAACAGAGCCACAGTTCCTGGGTGAACACAACTGCGCTGATCACAGGCTGTACCAACGCTGCTGGCCTGGTTGTGGTCGGCAATTTCCAGGTTGGCAGAAATTTGGGGAGGCAGCACTGGGTTTCAAAGCAGCTCCCATTTGGGAGTGACATAGTTGAGTTCCTTTTCACCTGGAGTGACCCCTTGCCTCTGGCAAGGCTGGATTATGGCCCATAGCGGGGGTGGATAGGGCAAGAAGCAGAGGACAGAGGATTTTATTTATCCAGTCACCCTAGGCAATATGTACCATCTGCAAAGGCAGCCCCACCCCTTGTACTCTGCCTTGGAACAACCTAATGCACACATGGAGGAGATGCACTTTGGAGAGCTACTGACTGGGGGATGGAATGAGGGAGGGGGTGACTTGAAGCGACTGGGGCGGGAGCCTTCCCCCAAAGCAAAATTCTCTTGGCACAGCCATTTTCACTGTAGTGAGGCTGTGCAGGAGAATTTCCTTTGTAGATTGTGGCCCCTGCTTGCCAGCAGGTGTAGGGGAAGATGCCATTTGACTTGGTGAACCCATAACACTTTGGCAGGATGGAAGATTTTTCTTAACTGCCTAAAAATGGAACGAGGAGACCTGTCTTCTTAAAAATAATAATGGGAAAGGTCAGGCTTCCACAATGGAACATGATTGCTCCAGTACCTGTGTTTGGGCTCTCCTTGTGCTTTAGGTGGACTATGCCAAATCCCTTCACTACATCGGAGCCGGTGTGGCCTTCCCGGCAGGCCTGCTTTTTGTCTGCCTTCAGTGTGTCCTCTCCTACCATGTTGCCATCTCTGTCCTGGACTTCTGGATGGCACATCTACGTGTCTTCCTTACCACTGTGGCCTTAATTTCCCTTGTCCTGAGTATCCTTTTCTGGTGGCAGGGGCCGGGCCACTTGGTGGCAGTGTGCGCTACAGGGGGACACCCATTCCTCTAGAGAATTCCCTCCTTTCTCACACAGGATTTCCTTTCTCCTGGGATAGGTGATCACTTGAAGGGCTTCACCATGGCTGCGTTATCCTGTGGTTCTTCAGCTTGCCCTCTTGATACCTGTGCCCCCAACCCTGGCCCTGTGCTTCTCTTCTGGCCAGAGACAAGAGGACCTGCAGCCTCCCAGCTAACTCCTGTCCCCTGACCATGCTGGCTGCAAGGGCTGGGGGGAGTCTGCATCCAGCAACATATGGAGAGCCACAAGTTTGCTATCTAAGCTTTTGGGCAGGTATGGGGAACCTTTGGCCCTCCAGATGCCACTGGTGCCAATAGATGTAGTTCACTAACACTTGGAAAGCCAAAGTTTCCCACACTTTTTAGGCATTTGTAATTTACACACGGGGACGCGGGTGGTGCTGTGGGTAAAAGCCTCAGTACCTAGGGCTTGCCGATCGAAAGGTCAGCGGTTCAAATCCCCGCGGCGGGGTGTGCTCCCGTCGTTCGGTCCCAGCGCCTGCCAACCTAGCAGTTCAAAAGCACCTCCAGGTGCAAGTAGATAAATAGGGACCACTTACCAGCGGGAAGGTAAACGGCGTTCCGTGTGCGGCTCTGGCTCGCCAGAGCAGCGATGTCACGCTGGCCACGTGACCCGGAAGTGTCTCCAGACAGCGCTGGCCCCCGGCCTCTTGAGTGAGATGGGCGCACAACCCTAGAGTCTGTCAAGACTGGCCCGTACGGGCAGGGGTACCTTTACCTTTACCTTTAGTTTACACACACAATTAATTGCCTGGGCGTAGTTTCAGGAAGGTTCTCTGATCCACTGCTTCAAACTGGGCTCAAGATCTTGTTTGTTCATGCGCTGGGAAGGGGTTGCAGCCAGCTAGCCAGCCCCTCATCCTCTGCACACATCCCATTCGCCACAGGCATCTCAGTTCCCTGTCACATTTGGCCAAACGTATAGATCCTTAAGGTGGTCACGACTTCTCAAACCAAAACTTTTTTTTTACACAGGTAACTTTATGCAGTTGACTGCCAGCCAGTTGAAATTACACAAATTAAATGCCTGGAAGGCAGAGAGCTTAAAAGCTCTTTTTGCACAGGAGTTTCCTGTCATGGAAAAAGCTTTTAAGCTCTGTTTTGCTCATCAGACTCTGGGAGGGTCTGGCAAGATCTTGCGGGAACTTGGGTGGCTCTGCAAGATCTTGTGAGAGCCTCCCAGAGCCCAGTAAAGCAAACCTTGCTTAGGGGCTAATACCTATTTGGTGCACCAGCTCCAGATGGCAAGATTGTTTTTGTGCCATCTCTGGAGTGTAACCCCATGCCAGATGCAAGTTTGCTGTATTTACATCCTTTCCTATAAATGGAACCTTAGGAGGTGTCCAGGTGGTTCCTAAGTGATCTCCCATCCAGGTGCTGACCAGACCCATCCTGTTTAGTAGTTTTAGGAAGGTGGGCTCCACAGCCTGGGCCTATGGAGTCCTAAAGCACCACCAGAGCCCAATAGGTGGCTGTATCAGTTCTTTCTGTCATGCCTCAAGAGTGGACGGACTTCAGGCTTGCCAGGTCTATTTGTTTTTGTTTTAAACTATAAATCCAGGATATACCAGCCAGAGCCAGGTGTGAAAGACTCACACTCCAAATTAAAAACAGGTTGCTTCTGTATATAGACTGTGTATAGAATTTGTTTTAAGAATTTTAATGTAGCTGTCCTCCTCTCACACAAGAAAATCTGCTGGTAGCTTTCTTAATTTTAGCAGTATAACTGAGGAGACAAACGTTACTTTGAGGCTAGATAGGACTTGGAAAGCCATTCTAATCGATTGGAAAACATCCAGAGGTCTACTAGAGGGCCAGCATGGTGTAGTGATTAGAGAGTTGGACAAGGACCTGGGAGACCAGGGTTCCAATTTCCATGTGGCCATGAAGCTCACCTTGAGGACAATTAACCTACTTCACTGGCTTGTGGGGATTAAAAGAGGGGAGAACTGGATATACCACCTTGAGCTCCTTGGAGAAAAAGTGGGGTATAAATGCAATAGCTTAATGAATAGTAAGTCCCAGTTCTACCCACTCGTGCTCAAAGAAGGCATCTTCTGCCACCATCACAAAGCCAGCCAAGCCAACCCACCTTCCGCAGGCATGCCTACTTTTCCTTGACTCTCCCACAGGTGGAATCTTCTTCATCCATGAGAGCTTCCTCCTGCAGCACCTGGCTGCCATCTGCGAATGGGTCTTCGTCATTGACATCCTCATCTTCTACGGCACTTTCACCTACGAGTTTGGTGCCGTCTCCAATGACACCATGGTGGCTGCACTGCAGCATTCGAACAGCAGGGGGTGCAAATCACCAGGCAGCAGCAGCACCTCAACTCACCTTAACTGTAACCCTGAGAGCATCGCTATGATCTGAGGGAAACGGGTGGGGGTGGCTTTGCTTTCCCATCCCACATCCGGCAGCTTTGGTGCGCTGCCTTTTTTCCCCCAATGGGGGAAGAGGGGCACCTTTTCCCTCCTGGGGATTTTAATTTTGTACCAAAAGATTTTTTTTTAAAAGAAAAATATTATTGCTGCCAACACTCCCCTCTAATTCCCCTCTGTCGTTGCTCAGTGCTGCACTCTTAAGGGAGGAAAGACAGTGCCTATTTGTCTAAGAGCACTGGATGGCAGCAGGCAGAACTCTCAAATAAGCCCCCACCTATATAGCTTGGATCATGACAACCTTACCTGAAAACCTGTCCTTGCTGGCAGCTAAGCTTTCTCACCCAAGCTACTGCACACACACTCTGGGTGTTTGGACTACAGTTCCCACCAGCATGGCCAGGTGATGCGGAGGCTGATGGGAGTTGTAATCCAATGCACCTGGAGGGCAGCGGGAGGTTGGGGGAGGTTGCTGCAGAGCCTGGCCCTCTCGCTGCCCCCCAGGGCCTGCAAACCGGTGCCAAAGGAAACAGCTGTTTCCAGATTCATTTACAAGCAGAGCCAGACTCGTTTCCCAAAGGTGCTTGGAATACAGTTTGGGTGCCTGCAGACAATGGCTGCTCTTGGAAAATATGACTGCATCTCACTGCCGCTCCCCACCTACTTTCCTTTTGGGGTGATAGAGGGACCTTCGTGAGCTGCTTGAACAAAGAGGCAGGGAACAGGTGGGTTTAGTGAATGAAGGATACCCCTCACTACTCTCTGGGAGGTGACCACCACCTCCATACTTTGGCCTGTAAGAAGTAATGTGGTCTCGACGCAACAAGAATATTGATGCACCTGGGGAAAACAGGGTGGAGAAGCAACAAAAGGAGACTCTGTCTTAGGGAGAAGACGAATGTCCCCACCCCAGGACTTGGCACACTACCTAAGGCAGATTTCCACGATCTGTCCCATAAGTATCTGGGCTGAACAGGGAGGAGGAGGATTCTGTTCCTCAGCCCCCCATGTCTGAGCTGGTACGTTTGGGTAAAACTGTTTTGGTATTTTTTAGAAGTTTTTTTTATATATCTCTATATAAAATGTGTATAAAGAGAGTTGTATCAGAGCAGCGCTGCCTTGTCTGATGGGTGTGTGTCTGTCTACGTGTACAGCAGCAGCAGAAGAGCATCACAAGCAAGGTGCCACTTCCACACCCTGTGCACATCCAGGAGTTGCGAAAGGAAGAGTGCCTACAGAAAAGGGAAGGGGGTACACCTGAGGCACCCCCTCCCCTGCTTTGTCGCTTAGGAAGTGGGTCATAGAGGATCCACTCACTCTGATAAATGCAATTTTGTCTGGAAGGCAGCAATAAGGGACTGCGGCTTCTAACTGCTCTGAAATCACTCTCTCCAGGCAGAAGGGGAGGGTGCCAGAGTTTGGTGTTATTTGGTTACTGTGGCAGTAGTTTTCTGCTCCCTCTGCTGTCCCTGGAATTAGTCTCCACTCTGCAATACTACTCATGGACCCTCTAAGCCAGCAGCAGCCATTACCCCGCCTATTTGTCGGCCTGATTTGTCCCCTTGCCGTTGCAGACCTTGGGCCAAAAAAGGCTGTCTTGCATACTTTAAGCCCCTCCTGCATATTTGCCACCCCCAACTTCCAGAGACCAAAATCACACATGCCAAGGGAATGGCCTTTTCTTTAGCTGAGTTTATTGGTTGTGTGTATTTCCAGAGTTTGCTCGCCAAAATGAAGGTCCAGTCTGCTGTCTCTCTACACACAGAAACAGACTAGGTAATAGCAGCCAGCGTTTGTACAAACATAGCACCCAAGGCCTGCTTCACAGAAGATGAGAGTACACACCTGCCTTTCTTAGCCACAGAGCCCTCTAAAGTGCAGGAAGAGGGCAGAGGACCAGTGACCCTCCAGATATTGCTGGACTAGAGCTCCCATCATCCTTTACCATTGGCCAAGGATGTTCTGAAGCAGAGGCACCACCCAGTGGTTTTCCAACATGGCCATGGCTGAAGATGCTAGCCTTTCATATAGCAAGCTACGCACAGGACTCGTGCAAGCTGTGGGGATTTTGCATGATATAATGAAGGGTTGGGTAACTTTTTTGCTCTGGCAGACCAGATCTCCATCTCAACCCCCTCCCTCTCACTTTGACACTACTCACTTGTCAGTCATCTGTATTAATGGCATCAGACTGACACTTGTCAAGACAGTGCTTGCCAAACAACCAGCAATTAAGTGCCTGTCACTTGCTTAAGAGGAGCTTGCTGGGTCAGGAATAATCTAGTCCAGCATTCTGTTCTCACAGTGGGCACCCTGATGCCTATAGAAAACCCCCAAGGACCTGGGCGCAAGATCACTCCTCCCCTCTTGAGGATTCCAGCAACTGGTATTTGGAACTGCTCCTGCCGCCCAACTCTGGAGGCAAAGTATAGCCACTGTAGCTAGTAGCTTCCATGAATTTGTCGAATACCCGTGTTAAGCCATCCTACTTGGTAGTTTAACTATGTTCTGTGTGAAGTCCTGAATCTTCCAACGTTCAGCTTTACTGACTGCGCACAAATCATGTTATGAGGAAGAAAACCTTTATCCACTTTCTCCCTGCCATGCATAATTTTATAAACTTCTTTCATGTCACCTTTTCTCTATAAACTAAAGGGTCCCTAATGCTGCAACCTTTCCTCACAGGGGAGTTGCTCCATCCCCTTGATCATTTGGGTCACCCTTTTCTGATATTTCCAGCTCTGCAATATCCTAGGTGAGGTGACTGTAACTGTATAAAGTCACAGAAGAGATCTGTATAACAGCATTATGATCCCAGCAGTTTTATTTTCAACTCCTTTCCTAATGAAACCCAGCATGGGATTTGAATTTTTCATGGCTCCCGCACTCTGGGTCACAATCTTCACTATGCCAAGGTCTCATTCATGGCCACCGCAAGTTCAGACCCCATGAGTGAAATTGAGATTTTTCTTCTTGACCTGCATCGCTTCTGCACTTGTTTAGATGGAACTGCGTTTGCCATTTTGGGGGGCCATTTGCTCAATGGGGGGAGGTCCTTTTGGAGTTTTTCACGCTTAAATACAAACACCACACTGAACAATTTTATATTGCTAGCAAACTTGGCCACCTCACTGCTCAACGGCTCACCCCTAACTCTACATCTTTCATGAACAAGTTAAAAAGTGCAAGGTCAAATACCAATCATTGTTGGGGGAGGCACTCCACTTTCTACATCCCTCCATTCAAAGAACTGCCCATTTATTCCTACTCTCTACTTCCCGCTACTTAACCAAATCCTGATGTACAAGAGAACCTCTTATTCCATTACTGCAAAGCTTAACACAGACATCTTTGATGAGGCACCTTGTTGAAAGCTTTCTGAAATTCAAAGTACACAGTGTCAACTAGATCACATATCTATATACCGCTTCACACTCTGAAAGAACTTGAGTTGCCTGCAAATACCCGCAAAACAACCTGGCAGGCCAAAATTGGCCCATAAGGTGAAGGCATGTCTCTTCCCAGGTATTGTAAGAGACAGCCCAAGTCTTGCCAGAGGAAATGGCAAGAATCAAATCAGGAGAAGAGGCATGTAAATAAAACTGGAGGGGGGGGGCAGACGAAAACGGGTAAGGAGAATTTTCTTGATTTACTGGTGGCTGCCTTGCTTTTTGAGCTGTTCTGGCCACCTCCCCACAAATGCTGCAGGTTCTGGGGCCACAATGCTTTCCCCCAGAGAGAACACACCCTCTGCCTACTCTGCCCTCCACATGATCACATACTTGTGCGGTGAGGGAAACTACAGCAAGAGAAGTTACTTAATGAAGCCCGGCATTTATTATGGATGTGCAACAAGCTTTTGGAAGTGGGGAAGGAAGGAGGGCTGCTGCCTTTCTTGGCCCTGGGAGCGCCCTGCTTCCTGGCAATGTGGGCGAGATTGCGGTTGTCAGCCTTGAGCTGGAAGGAGAGGCAGAGGGCATGCCTTCCTCACGTGTACATGGCACCATGCAGATACTCCAGCCGATGCGCCTGCTGTTGCCGCCGCACCTTGGAAAATAAAGGTAAATATGAATGCCTCCGGCTCTATTCACGGCTGACATGTGGCCCCCAGGTGGTTCTCCACAAGCTAATGCATCACTTCAGGCCAAAAGGCGTACATCTAACCCCTGCACCTGCCCACATGGATCAGCACTCACCTTGTCCTTCTTGTACTCTTCATACTGTTCGTCGTCAGTGGGCAGCTCATGACGGCAGAGAGGACAGGAGTTGGTCTGGGCAAGGAGAAAGGAGTTAGCAGCAGCAGCCTCTTGAGAAAAGGGAAAGGGTGGAGGGAGCCATCCCAGGTACCAGAGAGGGAATGTCCCTGTTCCAATACTTCACCTTTCCAAGCCAGGGAAGAATACAGCCTTTGTGGAAGATGTGCTCGCAGGGCATCTTCCTGACCACCTCTTCCTCCTCAAACTCCAGCAGGCACACCGGACACTTGAGCCCTTTGTCTAACCCCACAAGTGGTTGGAGAAAGGAAAAGGCAGAAAACAGTTCCATCAAGTTGGCTCCACTCTACCCAAACACAGCACGGCCACACCTTTGCAAAGCTCAGAAATCCTGCCAATCCCATATTTACAAGCATTTTATTCTAATTGGATTTTTCTACTATAAGATTACTAGTGGATTATTGCTACTACAAGAGCAAGCATACATGATGGAAAAGCTGGGTAAGCCAAGCACAAATACTCCATCCTCTGGATGCCAAAGCCTTTGAACAGATGCTGCCAGAACATCAAAAGTTTAATCCTCACACCTGGGAGTCGTGACATTTTGTGCCAGATTCTTCCTGGAAGTATCCTCAATCAGAAAAGACCCTGCTAATAATAATAATCCTGCACCAGAGCTGGTGGAAAACACTGCAGAGAGCCCTTGTGATGTAGCGGTTAGAGTGCTAGACTAGGACCAGGGAGACAGGGTTCAAATTGCCACTCACCCAATGTACCTCACAGGGTTGTTGTGAAGATAATATGGGGAGGGGAAAGTACTGTATAACCCACCTTCAGCTCCTTAGAGGAAAGGTGGGATACAGTATACAGTGGTACCTCGGGATGCGAACGGGATCCGTTCCGGAGCCCCGTTCACATCCTGAACAGAACGTAAGATGCGACGGCACGTCTGCGCAGGTCGCGTTTTGCCGCTTCCGCGCATGACGTCATTTTGAGTGTCTGTGCATGCGCGAGCGGCGAAACCCAGAAGTAACGCGCTCTGTTACTTCCGGGTTGCCGCAGAGTGCAACCCGAAAGCGCTCAACCTGAAGCACATTCCACCCGAGGTATGACTGTAGATGTAATAAATAAAACTTTTTAAAGGTGAGCTTTTGAACTTTGTCATGACCAAAAAGCAAACCTTGAGTATACAAACAGGAAGGTAGCAAGGAAGAGCTGTAGGTGCTCAGCAGAGGCAGGAATACCAGCAGGCAGGGAAAGTGAGAGATGCACCTTATTGCTGCTGAGCTTGGAAATGGGGGCACAGCTGCTGCCATTGCAGGTGGAGATCAACCTTCATCTTGCAACTTTCCTCCGGTTCCCCAGGCTGCTTTTGACTCCCACATGACTCCTCTGGACCATCTCTTCCACAGAAATTGGGCTGGACGCTTTCCAAGACTGAGAGGTCTTGGAGACATAGACACTCAAATTCTTGTTACTTTTCTTAAATGAGTGTGCCGGCTGGGGCTGACGGGAGTTGTAGTCCAAAACACCTAGAGAAGGCTGACATAGACTGTCTTCTAACCACAGCTCTTGAAGTGCTGTGATATACAAGGCCCAGATTGAAATCTAAGCTATTACCTGCTTGCTGTGGGGTAACAGGCACTGAAGGAAGGCTCTCTACAGCTTGCTTGGCAGCTGGCGGGGGGAGCCGGTGGTCCCAGTCTTCACTCTCCAAGAAGCCCACATCAATCTCCAGGCCATTGAAGAGGGACCTGCATATGTTGGAGGAAAAGAGTGTGAGCAGCCACCACTGGGCTTCCTTGTCAGAGAGCTCGTGATCCAAATTCCAAATGACTAAAGATTGGAAATTCCTTACATACTTTTTGAATGAAAAAAGAAAATAATATCTGGGCTTGAGGACTGGAGAAAACATTGGTTTATAGAAAGCAGAATTGTTGGGTGCTATTTTGGAATGGATGTTTTGAATAATTTTCTACATACAGCTGACACAAAAAATGGAAGTTTTCCTTTTGGTTTGTTCTTTTATTTAGATTAGTTTATCTTTGATAAAAAGATATTTGATATTAACCTTTGCATACGTTCTTTCACATTTTAATTGTCGATTTTTTTAATTGAAGGTTTTCTTGATTTACAAAAGTGTGTGCAATGTCTCTCGTATATTTATTTTCCCCATTTAACATTTTTACAAATCAGTTTCATTTGTTGAGACATTGGGAAGAAAAGGGGGAAAGAGGTGGAGGGGGGAGAAAGATGGGTGGGGGTGGGGTCAGGCGACGGTGTTTCTATTTTACTTACTATATGTGGAGCTTTGTGTCAGGGTTGTTTGTGCAGGTTCTTTGTTGTTCACTTGTGTTCCTTTGGTGGTGAGAGAGGTTGGGGTTGGCCTAGGATGTGGTTATTCATTTGTGGTTGGCTGTGGTGGTCTTTGTTTTCATGTGTGAGTGGGGTGGGTGGGTGTTTTGGATCAGGTTAGCCATATTGATTTGTATGCTGTTGGTAGATTTTTGTCATTGTCTTGTTGGGCTGTGTATGTGATAAAGGGGAGCCATATCGGGATAAAGGCGTCTTCTTCTATTTGTCCCCATGTCAGTTTCAGTTTATTGGTTACCGTATTTTTTGCTCTATAAGACTCACTTTTTCCCTCCTAAAAAGTAAGGGGAAATGTGTGTGCGTCTTATGGAGCGAATGCAGGCTGCACAGCTATCCCAGAAGCCAGAACAGCAAGAGGGATTGCTGCTTTCACTGAGCAGCAATCCCTCTTGCTGTTCTGGCTTCTGAGATTCAGAATATTTTTTTTCTTGTTTTCCTCCTCCAAAAACTAGGTGTGTCTTGTGGTCTGGTGCGTCTTATAGAGCGAAAAATACGGTAATTTTTCTAGTAAGGCTGTTTCCCATACTATTTGTTTTATAAGATATTTATTAAAGGTTTTTTTTAAAACAATAAAACAAACTTCACATTCACAACCAAAAAGAAAAAACACCATCACAATCAATCCAAAAAAGAACCAAAAACGAAAAAAAAGTACAGTAAAAAACCCCCCATACAAAATAGAAGAAAAAAGACATGAAAAAATTGAAAAATAAAAACATAGAAAACCAATTTCTTAGATATAATTTTCATAACCCTCCTTCCAGACTTCCTCACATCTCCCTTTTCTGTGTTCCCCTTTACAAAATATTATTCAGCAATACTTCACCCTCTTTCATATCTTATTTTGTGTTATGCATTTCAGCCATTATGTCTCCAAATTTTTCCCTTTATTGTCAGTTATTTAAGTTAGACATAACCTTATTCTAGCTTCACCTTTGTTCTTATTCTTTTTGCATACTCCTTTCAGCTATGTCACTAATGCCGTATTATCTTTATATCTTGCATCATTCTAACATTCATAGAGTTTACAATACTTTTGCAAATAGTCTTTAAATTTCTTCCAGTCCTCTTCCACTAGCTCTTCTCCCAGGTCTCGGATTCTGCCAGTCATTTCTGCCAATTCCATATAGTCTATCAGTTGCATCTGCCATTCTTCCAGGGTGGGCAAATCTTGTGTCTTCCAATGTTTTGCGATGAGTATTCTTGCTGCTGTTGTTGCATACATAAAAAAAGTTCTATCCTTCTTTGACACCATTTGGCCAACAATGCCCAAAAGGAAGGCCTCTGGTTTCTTAGGGAAGGTATATTTAAATAACTTTTTTAATTCATTATTCCCATACTATTTGGTACCATTGGTCCAGGCTTACTCCTGACAGGTCTGTCCAGTGTCTGGCTATGATGCTTCTGGCTGCTGAAAGGAGGTGGGTTATGAGTTCTTTGTGGTGTAAGTGGGCATTATTGTCTTGGAAGATGTTTAGTAGGGCCAATTCTGGGGTGGTTTTTAATACTTGTTTGGTTATTTTTCAAATTTTAATTGTGACCCAATTTCCAAACTAAGGTGCTCATTGAACCCTGGGGGATCTTCTCTGCTTCACTCACTGGGAACATCAGAGAAAGAAGAGGTGGGATTGTTATTTTATTCTTGAAGGGGGAACATGTTTTCCTCAGACTTCTGAGTTGCCATGAAGGACCTTGGCTGCTTATTGTGAGACTGGGCTGTCGCAGAGCATAGGGAGGAAAGTGTGGGCACTAAACCTCCTAATAAAGGTCTGGATTGTCTTGCACCCCCACGGCATGAATTACGGCTCCCCCAACCTTTGCAGAGCTGGAAGGCACTGTTTGAGGTCGACCTGGGTAGACACCGAGCACAGGACGCTATGCTTTCTTTGCAGAAGGAAGCCTCATAAGCTGATCCAGTAGCAGCAGCTTCACAAAAAACCAAGTGAGGATCATAAACAGTGTGTTTTGGATGGACTTTAATTGGACTGAGTTTACGACCTGAATTTCTGGAATACAAAAAGGGAATCCATTCCAGAAGTGGTTGAGAGCTGCATGGGTAATTGTATGAGGGTGTGGAAAGAAGTAAAAAAAAAAAAAAAGACTTGGAAAAGTGGAGGGAGATGCAACTTTCCTTATCAAGAAGAATATCAGCCATCAAAATGAAAATATTACCAAAGACCAGGGCTTTTTTTCAGCCGGAACTCACCTCTTTAGTGTGTTTCAGCACCTTTGCAGTGTTGCAGTGCCATTCCCTGGTGGTGGTTTATAATATTTGGCCCCAGCAGTGGGGTGAGTGGGCAAAGAAGAGATGTCCCCCTCCCTTCAACAACTTTGGGTTCTCTCCCTAAAAAAAGGTCAACAAGTCCTGCCTATGATGCTATTTCTTTTCAAAACAATACCAGTAATAAGCAATTTAAGTTGTTTTAAACAGTGGCAGAGAGACATATCAGGATTCATTTGGCAGGGGAAGAAGCCAAGAGTTAAGTACAAAATTTTAACAGATATAAAAGACAGAGGCAGATTCTTACTACCAGATCTTGGATTGTATTATGAAGTAGCATGTCTATGCTGGTTAACAGAATGGATAGCTCTGGAAGATGTTGGATTATTGGATTTAGAAGGATTTGATAGACAATATGGTTGGCATGCATACCTATGGGATGATAAAGTAAGAGGACGTAAAGGATTCTTAGACCACATTATAAGAAGCCTCTGTACAGTACGGATGGGGTATAAAAACCTGTTTGAAAGGAATAACCCACTATGGCTCTAGCCCAGGGGTCGGCAAGGTTTATCTTGCCTGGTCCGGGTCGGTCCCGCAGAGATCCCTCCGTGGGCAGGATCACACGTGCGTGTGAGTGTGCGCCCCTGCAATTTCCAGCGTCTGTGCAGACATGATTTCCGGCGCTGCGGAAGCGAGTCCCCATGCAGCGTCAGTTTAGCGCAGCACGTGAGCAGGCAGCTCAGTTCGGGGGCGGCTCATGGGCTGATAAAATGAGCTCTGCGGGCTGCTTCCGGCCCATGGGCCTTAGGTTGGTGACCCCTGCTCTAGCCCACTGAAGCAAGTTCTATGAAGAAAATGAATATGAAAAAGAAATGGGGCACCTACAGAGACATATTAGAGATCGGTGAAGCAGGAGTAATGCTCAAAAAAAGAGAGGACATTAAGGAATAGATAACAGAGTGGTTCCAATCTGAGATGTACAAAAAAGATAAACTGGAGGGATCTGCTGAACAAAGTTCTGACTTTGAAAGGGGTTTAATGGAGAATAATGAAAAACTAATTTTAAAAATGTACAAAATCCTGCTGGAATGGGAAACGAAAGCTGAACTGCTCAAAGCTGCCATGATACACTGGGCAAGGGATGTAGGACACAACATCAAGAGGGCATCATGGGAAAAACTATGGGTGATTAATATGACATTTGCAGCCTGTTACACCCTGAGGGAGAACTATCTAAAGAACATCTATAGATGGTACTTGATCCCAAGTAAACTTGCTAAGATGTGTAAAAAAAGGTTCTAATATACGCTGGAAGTGCCAAGAGATGGAAGGTACAGTCTTCTACATGTGGCAAACATGCAAAAAGGCTAAAGGATTTTGAATAAGATATTCAAGTTGGCGTTTAAAAAAACACACAAAAAACCCTGAAGCCTTTCTCCTTGGAATAAGGGAATTGGACGTCCCCAAAAAGTCGGTCAGCTTATTTTTATACCCAACAATGGCAGCAAGTATAATATATGTGCAAAAGTTGAAGGATGATGAGATACCAACTGAAGTAGACTGGCAGAATAAATTGACAGAGTATGAGGAGTTAAAAAGTTTAACAATGAAAATCAAAGACCAGGAGGAGTCAGTGTTTAGGGAAAAATGGAAGCCTTTCATAGAATATTTGAAGAACTATAATAACCATATTAATATGCAAGTAGGATATGAATTGTAAACAGCAGTGAAAAGTAGTTTAGATAATAAGGAAGGAGGCTAGTTACAATATGCAGCAAACTAAGGGGAAATAAGGAAACTATGGAGGGGAAGTTCACATTTATTAGAAAAAACAGTGGAAATTAAAAACGTAATGTCTGCTTGAAAATTCTAAATAAAACATTTTTTTACAAAAGTTCACAGCCCATGAGGAAATATGTGACATTTTAAGATTTTTGTGTGTGCATCCCTTTACACTTGCTCACACTAAATTGCATTTGCCATTTTGCTGCCCATTCATTCACAGTTTGGAGAAATCCTTTTAGAACTCTTCACAATTCTCCCCTTGTTCAATGGCCGTTAAGCTTACTCAAGGGTTGTCAGCAGCATTTAGAAATCTAAGCACACATTGTACTTTGCTTCCCAAACCAGCAGTGGGTGCACAATGGATGCAGAGTAAACAGGTGTGCGTACACCGCCGAATAGTGAGGCAGGATTTGCCCTTGCACAAGTCATCCTAGTTCTACTTCAGCAAAACTGGTACTTCTACATGCCTGCGAACTCGCTTTAGCAATGCTCCCCACCAGTTTTCCTAGAAGAGACAGTAAGCCAGTGGTTCTCAAAACTTTTTTCTCGGGGCCACACTTTCAGAATAAAAATGTGCTTGCACCACACCATTTTAAAAAATTGATAAAATACATTGGAAAACACAACTAGGATTGTCCACAGAATCACTTGATGCTCTTGTTCTCAGTTTGAAAATATATCTATCAATATTCTGCTAAAAAAATTATATATGCTATACCATATAATACTGTACTATACCAAAATGTTTAAATGCTTCTTTGATTGCCCTAGACACCCTTGCCATCCTCTTCTCCCACACCCTTTGAGAACCACTGCTTTAAGCTAACCAGCCTATAATTTCCAGGATCCTCCCTGGGATCACTTTTTAATTGGTGTTGCATTGGCCAAAAAGATCCTGGGAGGTAAGAAAATACAGTGTGATTTTTATCCTGCTCGTTCCTCCTTCCAATCCCCCTTTTTGTGAGATGCCTTTGCTGTGGCTCCTTAGTTGCCCTGTGAACTAAGCCTAAGCACATGAAACTGAAACAAGACCTTATTGTTTCCATGTTTAACACGTTTTCAACACGGGGAAGCTGCCTTATTCCAAGCCAGATCATTGGCCCAGCTATTCCATTGCTGCCTGCACTGACTGGCAGTGGCTTCCCAAGACAGCAGACAGTGGTCCCTCCCAAGCCCACCTTGAGATGCTGGGGATGATGCGTGAGGCCCTGAGCATGCAGAGCAGATGCTCCACCGCCCGGCTCAGGCCCCTCCCGTCCCGTTTCTCCTGTGTGGAGTTTTAGACTGGGGGCGAGGACCCTGAATGCTAACCACACAATGTACAGTGGTACCTCTGTTTATGTACTTAATTCGTTCCGGAGGTCTGTTCTTAACCTGAAACTGTTCTTAACCTGAAGCACCACTTTAGCTAATGGGGCATCTTGCTGCCGCAGCGCCGCCAGAGCACGATTTCTGTTCTCATCCTGAAGCAAGTTCTTAACCTGAAGCACTATTTCTGGGTTAGTGGAGTCTGTAACCTGAAGCGTATGTAACCTAAAGCGTATGTAACCTGAAGCGTATGTAACCCGAGGTACCACTGTAATATAGAAACAACAACGCAACAGATTCTGAAAACCTTGCCACGGCCAAGAAGCAGAACTGCAGGGAAGATGGGAGAATGGGTCAACTAGTCGTGAGGGCGAGAGGGAGCCTCAGGTTCAGGGGCAGTCTACCTGAAAGTGGGGGGACCTGCCTAGGCATGTCCAGACATAGCTGTCAACCTTCCCTTTTTTGCGGGAAATTCCCTTGTTCATGTGGGACGCGGGTGGCGCTGTGGGTTAAACCCCAGAGCCTAGGGCTTGCCGATCAGAAGGTCGGCGGTTCGAATCCCCGCGACGATGGGGTGAGCTCTCGTTGCTCAGTCCCTGCTCCTGCCAACCTAGCAGTTCGAAAGCACGTCAAAGTGCAAGTAGATAAATAGGTACCTCTCTGGTGGGAAGGTAAACGGCATTTCCATGCGCTGCTCTGGTTTCGCCAGAAGCGGCTTAGTCATGCTGGCCACATGACCCGGAAGCTGTAGGCCGGCTCCCTCGGCCAATAAAGCGAGATGAGCGCCGCAACCCCAGAGTCGGCCACGACTGGACCTAATGGTCAGGGGTCCCTTTACCTTTTACCCTTCTTCCAGCACCGTTTCCCGCTGCTCTCCCGGATTGTTAGCTATCCCGTCCCGGGCCAGGCGAGGCTGCTGATCCCTTCTTTGGACAGCTCTGTGTCCCGAGGCTGCCTTTCGGCTCTGCCCCGGGAGGGAGCCCCCCCCCCCCCAGGTGGCGGCTCTGCCCCGCTCGGCTCCCCGGGACGCCCACCTGGCCAGTTCCAGCAGCGCCTGGCGATGCGGCTCCTCCTGGCGGGGCCCGGCGCCCGGCTCGCAGTCGTGCTCCTCGAAGTAGGAAGCCATGGCGGCAGCGCCGGAGCCAGTCGCCTCTGCGCTTCCCGCTCCGCCTCCGCCCGTGACTCGGCTCCTTCCGAAGCCATCCACCGCCGGGCGCCCCGCCGCCGCGCGCTCATTGGCCCGAGGCCGCGGGCAGCGGCCAATCAGGGCGGGCGGCGAGACGCGGGGATTCGGATCGTGGGAAGGCGCGCAGCTCGGGTCCTCGGAAGTCGCCCGACGGGACTTGGCAGCAGGCGGCGCGGGGTGATGCCGCAGGGAGGAGGAGGAAGAGGGAAGCGGGCAGCCAGGAAGGCTCTTCATGCTTGGGGCATTTCCCAGCTTTGCTTATGCGGGCCAAGCACGTGCGGAGCCACGGCTCTGAGTTGTTGCAATCCTTTCTCTCAAGCAAAGCTGAAGGTTTTTGCTCAGGGCTGCTTTTTAAAAGGTGAATCCCCTCCGAAGCTCCGGGCAGCTTAAAGATGCGTTTCGGTTCAGAAAGCGAGCGGTCAGCCTTCCTCATTGGTTCTCAACCTGTGGTTCCGCGGTTGTTGTTGGACTACAACTCCCATCATCCCTGAGCTCTGGCCTTGCTAGCTTGGGGTGATGGGAGTTGTAGTTCAACATCATCTGGGGACCCACAGGTTGAGAAAGGCTGCTCTAGATGATTTGGACTACAACTCCCATACAGCTGTGCAAGCTGGGGCCTATTAAAGTCCAACACGTATGGAAAGCACCTGGCCACATGGGCGTAGACAGGATTTATGATGGGGGGGGGGCAGGCAGAACCTGTTAAGTATTTTCATAGATTTACTTGATGGGGGGGCAGTTGCCCCCCTGCGGCTACGCCCATGTCTGGTAGGCAAAGGCTCTTTCAAACACTGGGCGTCATTGGCTTGGGGAAGTGGGAGGCATTAGCCAGTTGTGAGGCAGACAATTAACATTTCTCTGTCCACCATTCTGTGCTTTATAACTGCTTCTGCATTCCTGACATCTTAGAGCAAAAGTATAGTTTGCCAACCCTACTTTGAAAGGAGGGACGCGGGTGGCGCTGTGGGTAAAACCTCAGTGCCTAGGACTTGCCGATCGTATGGTCGGCGGTTCGAAGCCCCGCAGCAGGGTGAGCTCCCGTCTTTCGATCCCAGCTCCTGCCCACCTAGCAGTTCGAAAGCACCCCTAAGTGCAAGTAGATAAATAGGGACCGCTTTATAGCGGGAAGGTAAACGGCGTTTCCGTGCGCTGCGCTGGTGCTGGCTCACCAGAGCAGCTTCGTCACGCTGGCCACGTGACCCGGAAGTGTCTCCGGACAGCGCTGGCCCTCGGCCTCTTAAGTGAGACGGGCACACAACCCTAGAGTCGGACACGACTGGCCCGTACGGGCAGGGGTACCTTTACCTTACTTTGAAAGGAGGAATACGCACACAAACACCGAACATCTGCATGTTAATGACACTAAAATAATAATAAAACTCCATCGAGAGAAGCATCTGGCTGGCCACCTTGAGAATGGGACGCTGGCCCAGCCGGGCTCTTCATATTTTCTTAAATCACAGCACCATCAGGGACATTGTGGCTTGTGTGATAGCATAATGGTGGCCTAGGGTTGAAGCTCCGCCACCCATAGGAGGATTAACTGAGTGAATCACAAGATCCTCTTCCACCCCAGCAATTGCTAAGGTAATGCAGCGGGCCCACTTCTGGAGCTATGCTAAAGTTCCTAGGCTTTGTGCTGATGAGGAATCTGGAGGTAGTTCTTTATGTGTGGGAGAGACAGCAGAAGGAGTGAAGGCCACAAACCTTGTAGGGGAAGCAATAGACTCTGATGCAGATGTTGAAAAAATTATAGCAGCCTTGGCCACTGACAGGTTGGCAGCATGTGGTAGGACTTATTCTGGCAAAATGTTTTGTTGCGAAATCTCTGTAATAATCATGATTTGGTGTCATACCCTTTGCTGGTGCTTCTAGAGATTCCTCCCTGAGATTCCTCATCAAACTCTTCTCTCTGCTAGAAGCTACCAGGATGGAGACAGCTGTGAGGTGGGAAACAGAAAGGACTCACATATGCTCATGTGTGGGAGACAGCACTTTCTGAACGTGTGACCCAGCACAGCTGAGTGATTGACAGACAGTCCAAGAGGAATAAACTTCTCGGTGTATGGTCTTCATTTATTGTGTCACATGTATCTTTATACAAAGGTCCACTCAGTGAATTTTTTGTGCAAG